CCAGATGTGGACGTTGTAGCTGCTGCCGCACCGAGCCGGTCCACCATACGATCGAACATCGACGACTTCGATCCTTTGCTTGTTCTTTCCTGATGGGAACCGGATTCAGAGCAAAGCTGACTAGATTAGAATGGAACGTACGTGGTATCGGGTGAAAGCAGCTAGGTGAGCTGCGTACAGTTCACCCAAACTCCGGCTTTCACGCTCTAGATACCTCTGACCTTCCGTGTACGGCACAAAGAGTTCCTCCATGGAAGTCTCGAGCATCGTGCTGACCGTAGCAGCTGTAGTGGTAACTGCAGACGTGGGTGCCGCGTTCAAGGTCAAGTTCAAGTCGCCCATATCGGAAGGTGACCGAGGCATAACCGATGCAACTTCATATGCCTTGAGGTCTTCCACGAGCATTGAAGTTTGCTGGTGAACCAATTGCAGGATACGTAAGAACGCAAGGTCAGAGATGCTGGCTCCCCTGTTGACTAACTGCTCCATGTATTGCTGAATCTACACAAAAGCAGCGCGATTAAATTGGAGCAAATTTTTAATGAAAACGACGAACTGATTGTGCGAAGACGCGTTGAAGAAACACCTGCATAACAAAGGGAGGATTGGGAAAGACGGCTTGCACAATCTGGGCCTCCTGACCAACGGTTGTACGAATGTCCTGAAAGAGATCGCGAAGTCCAGCTTCTGCGGTAGGCGGACTGGCATCAGGGTTGGGAAGAGTATGCCATCTGGTCGAGCAATACAAGCATGGATATTTGAGAGTAAAATTTAAGAGGAGTTTAAAGAGAGGAATGAACATACACCTCCTCTTCCATATTATTCGTTTCGCGCACCCGGTTGATGAAGAAATCGTGTTGATTGACATATACTTGAACGCACGAAGCGCCGCCATTGAAGTCGAGCAATGTCTGCGCACAATGCTAGAGATGACATCAGAAGAGGAAATATACAAAGCAATCACTAGAAGACACACATGCATCATCTTTGGGTCACCTTTGCGATATGCGCGGTCGAATAAATGGAGCACATCCTTCTCAAACTTTTCACAATATCTGTCGATATTTTCTCTCGTCTAGTGTAACGCAATCTCATCAGCATAGGCATAGGCATAAGTAGAGGAGTATATTACTGGCCTTGTCCGCATGTGGAAGGTCGACCTCCTTAGCGACAACATTAAGACGTCTTAGGAGTACCGCAACCTTACGTCTCCCGTCTTTGCCACCCTCTTTCTTCAGAGAGTCTATCCGCGTTGTGTCATCTCGAGCAAACTGATTGTAGTAGTCGATGAGATCATGCGCCGCTTGGGCTCGTTGTCGTTGCTGGTGCACGGATTCAAGCTGATCACCTATGAAAATTTCAGCCTAAAGCAGTTTCAGTGTCAATATGCTCTCACCAATTCGGATGGCCGTGCGCCCGACCTCATTCATCTTGCTTTCCATGCCGGAGAAAGATTGGCCAACTGCCTGGATTTACATGAGCTCGCACGAGAAATAATTAGCGGGGCGCTCACCTCAAACCCCTTATTGAGCTCGGACATCTTCTTGGAATACTCTCTCTCGGTCGTCCGAACAATCTTCTCCATCTGCTCCGTTTTAGCTTGTACATCCTTCCTGACTGCAATGAGCTTGTCTACCGCTGCCTCGAATGTGCGTATGAATGGCTTGGGATCGAACGCTAGAACATCGCATACTGAGTGGTAGCATAGGTGATTGTATACAAGAACTTACGTCCTGAATCGGCTTTGGACTGTGCAATAAGCTTCTCCGAGACTAGTCCTACGAAATCCTTGACGTCGAATTTCCTCTACGCCACCAATTCAGTGGCGAGTGGGAGCAATGAGACAGAATAAATCCACCTCAAAGGTTTCGAGTCGTAACTGGTCTTGAACGGAGGGATCGAGAGACCTCGCCATGGTCTGACGGATGATGCTGTTCAACCCTGAATTAGAATCTCACATCGCCGGTAATCCAGAGGGCTTGATCACGGTACTCGGTCGTCTGCTGAGACGCCGGAAAAGAGGCCGGAATGCTGCCAGTGAAAGTAATTTCGTTTATTTTGGCTCCGAGTCGCTGCCCGCGACCATGGAGAACTCGCATCCCCTCAAAACACTTCTCCAACTGCAGCTTGCCTCTGATGCCTCTTCTGTCTTACACCTTCCCTATGTCCTGGACTTTCTCAGCCCGGAGCACTTTGGTCCTTCTCCTCATACGCAGAAATGGGCCGCAAGAATAAACTCCTTGCTACATTCTAAGGACTCATCCGCACGGTGGGCGGGGCTTTGTGTTGCCTTTCAGACCTCTGTATGCTCCAGGGATATTATGATTGAACACGCCCAGGGCTGGATTGGCGTTGCATTGCCCATACTTTCAGTCCGTACATCCGGCCCTGTATTTATCGCATATCCTTATGTTGTTTATTCAAGAAAGACGAGCCTCCACCTACCTTGAAGGCCTCTGTCCGACTCTTGAGGCGTATATTCTCCACCACAGTGAACATAGCCGAGTTTCAACGTCAACTCTGCCTACCGAACGTGCCCAAATTCAGTTCCGCTCTGATTGAACTTGTGCAGAAAAAGCCAGAAGAGGACTTGAAGGTGAGTGATGCTCTCCAGCATGGTTTATGTTTGATCAACTCCACACAGTTACTGGCCCTAGCAGCCCTTACGCATCTAATACCTCTGTATCCCACTCTCCATCGGAGTCTGCACTCCTCTCTGTCTTCCCTGGCTTTGAAGTTCTTGAACGGATCTTCACCCCGACCAACGCCGGAATCCCTAGCCAAAGGCGCTGCCCGGTTGTATGCCACGCTGCACGTCACCGGCGGGAAAGTCGGTGCTGGAAACATCTGGCGTACCTCTTTGGACGAGACGCTGTCGTTCGCATGGACGGCCCTATATAACTTGCGTACGACTTATGATACTAGGAGTATGTTTTGCATTATCGTCTTCCACCTCTTGAGCATAATTTCGTGTAGATCAGAATGGAGCTCCCCCTTACCCGTCGATGTCCGTAGAGGATCCTATTATTTCGATTCCTCTGAACATGGATCGTCTACGCGCAGCCGCATACATACTGTGTGATCTCCTGCTGTGCGTCTCATGGCGTTCTGTGACTGATAATAGCTAATGTACGGCTCAGATTCCCCACGCCCCGCCCAGTCATCGTTCCTGTGGGATCCCTCGTGAAGCTTTGTTCAACTATGTTGCGTTGTACACCAGAAGAGCAGGTATGTGGCGCTACGGTGGGCTTCTACGAGTACTAATGAACGTAGGCTGAAGGTCAATTTGATTCCGCCACTCGTGCAATGGAAGTCGCAATCATCCCAGCAATATGGCGTGTTGCCTGCGACATCCTCATAGCTCTTTCCGAAAGGTAGTAGTTATTGCTTATGGGGCGTAGCATTTGCTCACAGAGATGATAGTGTCCATTATCATTTATCGCTATATTTGCCTCGACTTCTGTCAGTATTTGCGTATCACCTGGAGCAAGAGCGCACCCCGTAGGCCCATGAGTTCAGATGAAATAATAAAGACTAACCATCGTAAAGGTCTCAACGGCTCTGCTTACTGCGAGCCATACCACCCCTGCTATCAAACGCAACTCACTTTCACGACACGGTTCTTGCCTCGCGCTTAGCGAAAGTGATATTGACTACTGTCACTACCCTCTTGACCCCCTCGTCTCAAGCGTTGGCCGATAGAGACGCCACAGCCTCAAAGAATAGGAGCAAAAGAGCTAAGAAAAGAGGGCGAGGTTACGAGGGCGACGAAGTCTTCAAAATAGCCGCCGAAATTGTCTGTTCAACTCCAGAGGAAGGCGAGGGTCTGCTAGTCGCACTAGATGGTAGGTATCCGATACATTATCCCATGTCTTAGTCCTGATACACTGCCGCTTCAAGCTTTGCACTTGCTCATGCAGAATTCGCTTCTCTCCCCTCCCGTGTACTCGATCGTCAGCCGTGCACTTCTCGCAATTCTTATCGCCCTACCACAAAGATCGCCTTTGTCCATCGCACCGGATTTATCGTTGCATGGGAAGCTCTCAGACAAACTGAGGTTTATCTGCACCAAGATGGCAACGGGCACTAGCAGCACGATGAGCAGAAGCCTTAGTCTTGTCATTGGCGCGATACCCCCCGATGGTGCCGGCGCCGTGAGTCGACCCATTCGCGTGATCCGTCAAAAGCGACTGACCCTGTTCTCTGATACAGTGCGGCGCGGAAAGTCGGCGTTGTCTCGATCTGCTCCTTCATCCGCGTGTACCGCCCCTTGTGCGGTCGATACCGCATGTGGAAACGTTGTCACTGTTCCGCGAGGAAGAGGGCGATGATGAAAAGGGCATCCGGAAATCGCTGGGTCTAAGTTCAGTCCACGACGGCCCCTTGTTCGCCTCATCGTCTGCAACGCCACCGGCGGTTGCACGCGATCGTCCCGACGGCACCGTCGTGCAATCGGGCTCTTCGCGGGATGCGGAGTCCGCATTCATTCTCAGCGCCGTGAACCTGGAATCCACAGTCCAGACGCGTGCGGTTTCATCGAACCTAACCCAATCAATCCCGTCTTTTTCGAGTACGCCAACTCCGACGAGCATCGCATCTGCGGTCAAGACGACTCCTGATAGCTCGATGGGCCAACATGGGTCAAATTCCCCGCAGCTGCAGGAATCAACCCCCATGCCGTCCACAGAGGCACTGTACGCTAAAACAAACCAGGCAATTGGAGCCTCGGTTAGTACCATTCCACCATCTTTAGACTCATTTGATACAGTCACGGTGATTGGGAATGGAGAAATGGATCGGGACGAAGACGAACCAATGCCGACCATTGACATGGGCTCCGATTCTGATTCTAATTAGCAGAGGTACCAGTCGCATCTCTGAGTAGAAATCTGAAAAAATTTATGTGCTGCACGTTGTGCTATGTCCATCGGTACCTCAGCTATGTCTTGACGCGCTTACGACGTTGTCCCTTCACATCGATGTCCAAACTCTCTTCATCAGACTCTATTGGCTGGCGACCCCTGGGCGACTGAGTGATTATGGGTATCTGGTTATACGCCGGTATACCGTAAATACGTTAATTGACAACTACTAAAAAATCACGATGGTCATACCTGTTCAATGAACGCAATTGCGACGAGGTTGTCGGGATCGATCGCCTTTGCGCGTTCTAAGTGCGTTTGCGCATCGCGCAACAGGCCATTGTCCCATGGGCGTTCTAGCAGGAGAAAATTGTGAGCGAATAAGATTGCACGCTTTATGCTACGGACCGTGATTCGGCACTTGTTCGCCTAGCTTGGGCTGCGCAAGATACAGGGCAAGGAGGCCCGCATAAATGTGTAGAACTGGATTGTCTTGGTAAGGAAAAGACGGCAGATACCTACACAGCGGCTCAGAAGACATAACATCTATGATATAGATTGGCTACACTGACAAGTCAATTTCATCCAGTGCTCTTCTGTACATACCGCATTCTATCAACCGCAAAACAAGCTCTTTCAGAATAGCTTCGCGCTGTTTCACAAGCTCAGCCGAGCCTCGCACCGTACAGGACACAGCTCACCTCATCGGGATGTTGCCGCATCATGGCACTTAAGAAAAGAATGCGTTCATTATCCGAATGCAATGTATCCTGTGAGTGTCCTTCAAGGACGTGCACAGACAACTTCCACATGACCTTCCAATCAATCTCCTTACATCGTATGAGGATTGTCCATGCTCGGCGAGCGCGTGCGATATCATTTCGGTGTAGGCAGAGCTGGAGGATGTCATATAAGCGGCGAATATGCACCTTTCTTGCTGTGGTTGGTTGTCTCGAGTGAAGGGGGGCGAAAAGGAATGAGTGCTGCGCAGACGACATTCATACTTGCCTGTACGTTGCCAGGCTCAAGCTGGGAGGCTCAATGTCAGCGGCACTTGGAGTAGAGGAGTGCGAGTGGGCCCGCAGTGGTGGTTACCTGCAAGTTGCGCGTGATACGATCGCACTCAAGCAACCTCGGTCTTAGTATTGCCGCTCCTGTCTTACCACATTCCAGTTACATCTCTGCGCAAGTCAGTTCCCAACTGCATCTTATAACGCGTCCATGGACGACGACATTTCTCTTGGAGCATCCGTATGGGGTGCTCCCGCATCCCCTGTGGCCATTAGGCCGATTGTACCCTCATTCCCATCCGCCGGGACCAGCAATGACGGGTTTGATGACTTTGATAACTTCGAGACACCCCCAGAGACCACTTCAATGTCTGCAGATGATGCAGACGATGATTTCGGAGACTTTGGAGACTTTGGAGAGCCACAGGAAGTCAGGTACACCTCCACGTTCGAAGAGGATGCTGGGTTCGGAGCCGACGTACGGATACCTGGTCCTTCAGGCATCGATTGGGGACCTCTACAAATCAATCCAATGCCGTCGAGAGAGGATTTGCAAAATCAGGTCGATGAAATATTGGGTCCGCTGTGGGCGAGCATCGACCTTACTCGCCTATCAGAAGAGGACATCAGACAGGCTGAAGGCCTGAACCAGACTTTGGTCACTCCTCAGAGGTAAATACTGTCGATTTCTCTATTGTAGCACCTGTATCTTAAATCCCAGATTGTTCCAGTCGTGAACTGTACAAGATTCTCCTGCCACCATCACTGCCTGCGTTGCAGCCTGTCAATTGGACGCGCTCTCGTATACGGCGACGACATCTGATCTCGCTCGGCATTCCCGTCAACCTTGATGAGGTCCTTCCACGAGCCAACGGGAAACTACCTGCTCTCGAAATTACTACGCGGCCAATGTCAGCTCCACCGGGCCCTCGAACGGCGCCTGTTTTGAGATCTGTTGTGTCCTCGCAGGCAGGTACGCCGCGTCCCGGTACACCGCGCGCCGGTACACCACGTCCGGGTACCCCACAGACCAGCATCGGCGCAACTTCCTCGGTCGCGGCGCAATTGCGCCTCGGGCCCATGCCAGAAATTGACGAATCTAAGATTTTGTCGTTGCTCAGTCTGGATTCAGGTCTGTACAACATTGTCGTCCTCGTTTAACGTGCTCATTATCTGCGCAGACAAGCTCACGTTGCTGCCGTTATCTACACTCGAGAAGTATCTGTCTGATATCCAAGCGCAGACGATTCATACATCGGCTGCTCTGACCTACTTTCTGCAGACGCGGGATGCTTTGCGACAGGATTCAGACACATATAATAAGTTAATTGGAGAATTAGTGGGCGAGGCACAGAAGATAAAGACAGGCAAGCGGGTTGCGGGTAGCAGCAAGAGGAGCACAATGACATGAGCACCTGTGTCGACACAGAACGCTATACTAGTTAGCTCGTGTAGAAGCGGTCGAGACGGATTGATTGACTTCTCATAGACTTCTTGATTTACGCATACATACGAATCATGTGACCGATCATTGGCACGCTTTTTTCCTTGCGAACGCGATCGAGCTGAATATCCTTTGGGCTTTTCTGCCTGCTACGTTCTCGGACGCGGGACACGATGAATGTCTCTCGTTCCTACCCGTCGACCGTGAGCAGCGTATCGTTCTCATTCCTGTCTCCCGAAGATGTTCGACGCATTTCCGTCAAACAAATCGTCAACCCCATCCTCCTCGATGATCTGAATCGTCCGAATATTGGCGGTTTGTACGACCCTGCCCTCGGACCTAGTGAGAAGCAAGATATGTACGTCTGCTCAATGGCCTAGCAGTGGACTAAATCTGAACGGCTCGCACAGTTGTGCCACATGTCGGCTCACATATTTTACCTGTCCTGGCCACTTTGGTCACATTGAGCTTCCTGCGCCAGTATTCCACCCTTTATTCATGGTCAACATGTATCACCTCCTTCGAGGTACCTGCTTGTTTTGTCATAGGTTCAAAGTGGACAGAAAAGTAGTGAGTACATTACGAACGTCTTTGAGAGTGCTCCTTTCATGCTCCGGGTGTTACTCCAGATGTGCAGATATGTAGCCAAAATACGGCTACTGGAGCATGGTTTTCTTATTGCCGCGAAAGCTTTGGACGACGTTCATGTCAACACGACGAAATCACGGCGAAAAGACGAAGATGAAGAAGAGGAGCCCACTGAAAGCGATCACGCTTTCGAACAAAGGATAAACGCCTATGTCGCGGTCCATTTGGCTGCTGCGTCTGGAAGCAAACGAGACTCGTACAAGGATAGTCTTGTATTCCAAGCTCGCAGGGAGGTAATCGACGAGTTCTTGAAGACGACCATGCTCAAGAAATGTAAAAACGCGAACTGTGGCGCGTGAGTGACTTATTCTAATGGGCTCCTCCGGAAACTCATGCTTCCTGTCTGTTCAGCCACTCGTATTCCTTCCGAAAAGAAGGGTATACGAAGATAATCGAATACGACTTGTCCACCAAGCAAAAACAGCAGCATAGCTTCGTTGGTTTGAAGAGACCGAACGTACTAGCCGATCAACAAAAGGGGAAGTCATCTGTGCAGAAGGAGTGGAATATGCTGGATGACGGCGAAGAGTCTGAAGACAACTCAGAGACGTCCGAGGGTGAGGATGTATTCTCCGATGCGGACGACGCGGAAGCCAAAAAGGACAATGCTCCACAGCTTCCCAAGTCAGCAAGCGGGAAAGTAAAAACAGCTCGTGGGCGAAACGAGCGTGTAATGCCTCCTGAAGAGTGTCGAGCTCATTTGCGACGGCTGTTCGCAAACGAATCGGTGATGTGCTCTCTTCTTTATGGTCGACATGGTCCCTTTTCACCATTATCAAAACACAATCTTTCGTTCGCTTCCGTCGATATCTTCTTCCTGGATGTCTTACCTGTCAGTCCTACCAGGTTCAGGCCACCTGCAAAGATGGGTGAGATGCTGTTCGAACATCCGCAGAACGAACTGTTGGCAAGGGTAATTACAACGTCCTATCGTCTTCGTGATCTCAACGAGACCCTCCGAACTGCGTCGCTGAAAGAGTCTACCGTCGATGAAGCTTCCAGGAGACGGATATTGCAGTCTCTGCTTGACGGTCTGATTCAACTACAAGTTGATGTGAACAGCTTCATTGACAGTAGCAAGAATCCAGCGCCGATACGACAGGGGAGACTTCCCCCGGCTGGTGTGAAACAGGGTCTGGAGAAGAAAGAGGGTCTCTTCCGAAAGAATATGATGGTACGTTGATGAAATCAAGGTGGCGACAAAATAACTCAAGTCAAGCGTATACAGGGAAAGCGTGTTAACTATGCTGCTCGTTCGGTCATCTCCCCAGATGTTAATATCGAACCAAACGAAATTGGGATCCCGCCAGTGTTTGCTCGGAAACTGACTTTTCCCGAACCTGTTACTCCCGCCAACTTCCATGAGCTACGCCAGTATGTCATAACTGGACAGAGCGGCTATCCAGGTGCGTCAATGGTTGAGTACGAGGATGGCCATCTACAGTTCCTCGTAGGTTGTGCTTTCCTTTCGTGATATCATCTGCAATAATTCTCTTTTTAGGATAAATTGAGCGTTGAGCAAAGAACCGCTATCGCCAATCAGCTACTGACGCCTCAGGATGGCAGTCACGGTTCAATCAACCGTTCCGGACTCTACACTCGGACGCCTGCTGTCAACAAGAAAGTTTATCGCCATCTCCGAGACGGTGATATCCTTATTCTCAATCGGCAGCCCACGCTTCACAAACCTAGCATGATGGCTCATAAAGCGCGAGTTTTGCAAGGAGAAAAAACGATTCGAATGCATTATGCCAATTGGTTCGGGTTATTTCCCCCTTTTTAGTATTTCCTCGCTTACCACGTGTCACAGTAACTCTTATAATGGTGAGACTATATCCACGAGCTTACGGTGTTGACTGAACGTTTACGTGTGTAGCCGACTTTGATGGCGATGGTGGGTACTTGGCGTTCATTATTTTTGGACCTTGTATTGACAATGCGGATCACAGAAATGAACATACACTTCCCTCGTAGGTCATATTAAAATTCTTCGGGGGTAGGATACTAATCCATCTGCAGAGAATCAGGTTGCTCGTGCGGAGGCTATGTACATCGCTAACACTGACAATCAATATCTTGTGCCAACGTCGGGGAAACCACTACGTGGTCTCATCCAAGATCATGTGGTAGCAGGTGTCTGGATGACAGCGCAGGATTCGTTCTTCACGCGTGAGGAGTATTTCCAGTTACTGTACGGGGCACTCCGTCCTGAAGATGAGGCGGGACATCATAGCGGCCGATTACTTACACTTCCGCCAACTATATGGAAACCTAAGCCCCTTTGGACGGGGAAGCAGATCGTACGCTCTATACAATTCCATGCAATTCTGACAGTTCTGATAGTCTTCTAGATATCCACGGTCATGAAAAACATCACGCCCAGCAGTTTTGAGGGACTGAATTTGCACTCCCAGGCGAAGGTGCCTGGACATCTATGGGGAACGGATTCCCAAGAAGACAAAGTCATCTTCATGGATGGCGAACTGCTTTCGGGTGTTCTGGATAAGTCTGCCTTTGGAGCGACAGATTTCGGTCTCGTGCACTCGGTATATGAGTTGTATGGCCCAGATGTTGCGGATAGCCTCCTTGGGATTCTAAGTCGACTTTTCACCAAATTCCTTCAGCACCGAGCGTTCACCTGTCGGATGGACGATTTGGCCCTCACACCAGAAGGCAATGCAAAGCGAGCAGAACTGCTACGGAACGGCGCACAGCTAGGGACTGTGGGCGCAACGGACAACTTCCCCTCCCTGGCATCGGTTTCGGAGGACGAAAAGCCGGCTATGCTTCGCTCGTTGTTGGAAGACGTCCTGCGCGATGACAACAAAATGGCCGGACTGGATATGACGGTTAAGGGCAAATTGGCCAAATTGACGAAATCCATTGCTGACGCCTGTATGCCCCACGGTCTTCTGCGCCAGTTCCCTCATAACCATATGCAGACCATGACACTTTCTGGCGCCAAAGGGAGTGCTGTCAATGCTCAGCAAATATCGTGTGCGTTAGGTCAGCAAGAACTAGAAGGTCGTCGCGTTCCTGTCATGGTTAGCGGCAAGACACTGCCCTCTTTCAAACCGTTTGAAACTAAGGCTATCGCTGGTGGTTACGTTGCAAGTCGCTTCCTGACTGGCGTCAAACCACAAGAATTCTTCTTCCATTGCATGGCTGGTCGAGAAGGTTTGATCGATACTGCCGTAAAGACGTCGCGATCGGGCTATCTTCAACGATGTCTCATCAAACACCTCGAGGGTGTCCGTGTCCATTACGACAATACCGTTCGGGGAAGCGATTCTTCCATTTATCAATTTCATTATGGAGGCGATGCGCTGGATGTTACGAGGCAGAAGCATTTGCTCCAATTTGAGTTTATAGCACGGAACGATGTGTCCCTCGTCAACCGATATCGGCCCAAGGAGCTGTCTTCCGTCATCTCGGAGGAGGCTGTTGATTATATGAAAAAGGTTCTCAGATACAAGGACAGGCCGTCAAAACGAGACACGTACAAGCCGGCGCTTTCGATCTACAATCCAAGCCGCTACCTAGGGAGTACGTCGGAGAGGTTCGCTGAGAAAGTAGAGGAGTATGTAAAGAGGAATCCCCACGGTTTACTGAGGAAGAAGCACCAAGAGGAAGGGATGCAGATTCGGCGAAGGAAACCACTTCTCCCCATGAAACATTTTAAATTGCTCGTAAATGTTAAGTATATGCGTAGCTTGGTCGACCCAGGAGAAGCAGTTGGGCTGCTCGCGTCGCAGGGGTATGTCATCGTCTCCCTTGAACAGTTCACCGAGATTGACATTAATATATCAGCGTCGGCGAGCCATCGACGCAAATGACACTGAATACCTTCCATTTTGCGGGTACGTTCTCTAGCGCATATGTGGGCCCCACTCTGACCATTTGTAGGGCACGGAGCCGCAAATGTCACTCTCGGTATTCCTCGTTTGCGAGAAATTGTCATGACGGCGTCTACAAAACCCAAGACGCCATCAATGACCATGCAGGTCCGCCAGGGAGTCCCGCTTTCAGACATCAATGAATTTTGCAAGAAGGCTACTCGTCTCGCTCTCTCTCATCTCGTAGACAAGGTCGTGGTCAAGGAGCGACTCACAGCACTTGGCGAGACGAGGACCAAAGACTTCACGATTGAGTTGAAGTTCTACCCGAAGGCTGAATATCAGGCCGAGTACGATGTGCAGCCTGCGGAGATATTAGCCGCATTCGGTTCCAGGTTCCCGCTAATGTTCAAGAAAGAGATACAATCGGAGATGAAGAAGCTGGATGCAGACCTCAAGAGTCAAATGAAAGAGCTGGGAAAAGGCAAGGCTGTGCGAGATCGGGCCCCGACTCGTGGACCCGATGGTGCCGAGGTAGACGACGACGATGCCAATGAGGGAGGAGGTGCGATAAAAGATGATGACGAAGCGAGTGAAGTTGGAGACGGGGATGCTACCGCTGCTAAGCGGCAACGTCAGACGAAAGAACAGGCTACGTACGATGATGATGAAGACGATGATGAGATGGAGTTAGGGGAATACGACGATGCGGAAATTGAGGCGGCTTATGCATCACAAGCTGGCGATAGTGATATGGAGGATGACGGGGACATTCAAATTGACGAGGATTTAGTTGCCGAAGTGGCTAAAGTCGAGGGGTTATTCATGGAAAATGTGCCTCCTGCGACATCATTCAGCTTCAGTGACTCCGCTTGTACTATTGGACTTCAGGTGAGCTCAGCGTAATTTGGCCTTGAGGAGCTACGTCTCACAGTTCGGGAGCAGTTTTCTGCTTCTATGCCCAAACTGCTATTAGTGGGGATTGTGGAAAAGGCGTGCGTCAAGACTGTGGTCCGCGAGATTCCGGGGATTACGGACTGCTTCAAAGGCGAGGAAAGCGGCCCAGCAGGAGACCCCAAATATACTGTGAGCGCCTTTGGACCAATGAATGGCCCGGATATGGGCTGATATGATTTGTTCCATGTAGCTTACGACAAACGGGTCTAACATTCCCGGACTGTGGCAGTTTGCATGCAGAGACGCTGACAGTATGATCGATGAAAATGGGATCTATTCGAATGACATTTATGCAATCCTTTGCGCATATGGAGTTGAGGCGGCACGAGCCACAATTCTTCGGGAGATTGGCGGCGTCTTTGGGGTTTACAAGATTGATGTCGATTCTCGCCATCTTGAGCTAATAGCTGATTACATGGTGAGTCCACAGGGCGCGGCCGTTCCCGATGTCGGACTAGATGCTTAGTGTTGATTGACAGACCTTCGATGGCGGGTATAAGCCCTTTAATCGTAGGGGCATATCGACAAGCCCGTCGCCTCTGCTGAAGGCATCGTATGAGACCACCGCCGCATTCCTATCCGATGCCACGCTGCACGGCGATTTCGATGATCTGACTACACCGTCTGGAAATATCGTGATGGGGCGACTTAATCTGACAGGAACGGGCGTTTTCGACGTCGTGATGCCTGTCGCCGAGGAGACACGGGGAGACGCGCAAGGGTTTGCACATCATCGCTCTGGCTCGTCCCAAGCAACTGAGTAGCTTACGGCATGTAATATGATGATTATTTGCTATAGTATGCGGTTTCCTTCGATCTAGTTCCCAATGTGGCCGGAAACCATCATTGATCACGGTGATCGAATGGTGTCCAATCGAGTGGTCCCAGCCCAGAATCTGCGCGCGAATGGCTCCTCCTCCGATGCCGGAGATCAGCACGCGCATGGCCAATGCGGGTCCCTGAATGCATCCTGGCAGAGGGATCGCGAACGGGTGCGAGGCGGGAACAAATCCTGCGACCAGGAAACGCGACCTATGCACCTTCGCGGAATCTGTACAGAGTCCAACCAGTTTCATCCCCCGCGCAATATAACCCGGTTGGGATGTCTCTGTCAATGCGCTCCGACGAAAAGACCGATGAGAACGGGCGGAGATATGCAATCTGGCGCAACGGGAGGAACACTTGGATACCAAACTAGTCAAAGCTAACCAGCTCGGCTTCTCCTCTCTGGTCCTCCCGCGAGCTTACGACACACTCCCCTAGTCATGTCCTAACCATGCGCACGAATACGAATAACCTGGGTAACCCGCTCATTGCCGTCACTTCTTTTGGGCATATTCCAGGAAGGGGCAGACAGCAACGCGATCTTGGATATATCTCTGATACGGGCTACACTCAACATGGCGCAAAGTGTATAGCGCCGCAGCAATGTGTAATAGAGTATTAGTACTCCGAGTGCATTATGACAAGACCACGCTTGGCAACTGTACGTAGCCTGCTGCATCCTGGTCCTGCATGTATCTTGAACAAGACTAGCGCGCTCGGCCAGTCTAACTGTGATGTCCGAGAGTGTCCCTCGATAGCGATCCCCGTCTCAGCCGAGAATCGAAGACTCCTACTCCGACCCGCTTACGGTGGAAATCTGCGCTGACCACCGGAAATATGTACGAAGTCTGAAGCCGTCCAGCAGCGAGGCATTTAAAAGGGCGGGCTGGAGTCAACAAACTACACACTGCTCAACACATCTAACAACCCACTCACCGACCGCTACTTCAATATGTGCTGCCTCAGACAGTGCGTCCTTTGTAGCTCCTAGCGGTACCAGGTGCTGATTTTATTTCAGGGTTTACAACGTTTACACCAAGTGGGTGTCGGCCTCTTCGATGATATTCACGCTGACTGGTTGTTTTCTCCATGAAGATGCGGCCACGGAATCACTTTGGTTTGTTCCACGTCCTAGAATTGAATTTTGAATCTGATTCACCGCTGTCTCATTCCGCCACAGCCCGACACCGAGGTAGTGGATGCCGCGTTGTGTGCTCCCATTTTACGTGCTAAGATTTTGCCCCCCAGATTAAATGCGCTGCTCGCGACTGCAAGTTCAGTCCCATGCATCTCCCTAATTGCCCCAACTGTAAAACCACATGTTGGCAATAGTAAGTCTCTTTGCACACGAATAAAACGGTCACTTACAAGTCCATCTCAGCCGTCAGCACCCCCAGCAGTATAGTATGTCTCGACTTTGCATGTCTATCGATGCAACATAACCCACCTCTATAGGTCCCCACCTGGATGCGTTCTGTCCCGAGTGTGTTAGAGCCGGAAGGGCCCACAACTAGCCACTAGCACGAGCTGGACATATGTATATATGAATTTCTTGGCATAGCCGTAGTCAGTGATATAGAGGCTATATTCGTCGAAGTAGCCGCACGCACGGAGATAAATTACAGCGGTGTGAACAGAATTTCGGAGCCACGGCGTACATGACTTCCTTAGGGAGAAGCATTAATGCTGTCATTGATGGGTCAACCACCGCGATATCTGAGAAAAATGACTGGGGACATTGAATTGGAGCGGGAAGTATATACAACGCGTACGCGCCATTCACCGATCAAGTTTTGTATTGAAGTGTTCTAAACGAGTATACATCAACTCCGACATTTCTATAAGATCCAGATATACAACTTACGGGACACATACAAGACCAAATACTCAGTCCTCGTCGTTAATATCGTGCTTCCTTTTCAGCTGGGCCAACTCCTCCTCCCGACGTGCCAAATCAGCTTTCGCAGCAGCCGCATCCTGTTTGGCAGGCATATGGTACAGAACGACAATGTAGCGTTCTTGCAAATGGAACCCGTTCAGGTGGTCAAGTGCATTTTTGGCCTGCGAGACCGACAATTGTATCCGTGACCGACTCTAGCGAGATAGATTGGGACTCACGTCCATAACATCGTCGAATACAACGAAGGCGGTTCCCCGCGACTTCTGCTCATTCCCAATTCGAATCTGACGGATGCTACCGTAACGTCCAAATAAATCGTAGAGGTCGTCGCCGGTGATCTGGTAATTCAGATTCTTCACAAAAAGGATACGGTTTGCACCCGGTGGAAGCTTTGACTTGAATGAGAGAAATCAGAACACTGCCGGAGGACGTTAGGAAGGAGACAGGTACGCACAGCAGGACGAGCGAGGGCCATGGTGGTGGCTGCGTGAAGTGCGAAAGTGGCGCGGACCAGCGTCCGTTGCCGGATCAACTGGGTTCGAATCCAGATTAGGCAAGCCTAGAGATAGTGCACGCCGGACTCGGGCTACACCGCGCAGTCGGCGACGTCTCCAGTGTCCTCCAGGTCCCTCAGGCTCTCGGCTTCCAGTCAGCAAATTTCTCGTATAAAATAGTGACATCTCGGTTGTATCGACTGCTGGAATCACAGCCTGACGCGCATTTGTACAGTATTATTAGTCAATTGAACACTCTAGCAGATCCGTCCGAGGCGAGTGATCGCAGCGAACTTTGACTTGGGTTTTTTTTATAAGAAGTCAGATGGCCTCAGCACTATTAGCATGAGGAACCGGGAGCCCGTCAGGACAAGGACTCGTGCTCGGACATCCGGACGGAGCAGCAGGCAGGCAACAACCTCAGTAGCAGCCTCAATTAGATGGCGTGACTAAATTCTAGCGTACACCACTCTCGTCTCCACGGAATGGCGATATACCGCCAATGCGCAACTTTGATGGATCCCTTCACAAACCTGGAAACAAACCCAGACTCCTCCGCTCCAGGCATAAAGTCTTCGTGTTTGGCATATAGTGGTTCGAGGAACGTCCTCAAGAAAACCCACGGCGACGGGAATGGGGTTGCCGTCACCATTTCAATGGCCTATACACTTTCTTCAACAGGTTGACGAGATGGTTCAGATAAATCACCCATTGACACTGATTGTCATCTTGTTGTTCCTGTATTCGCTCCAGCAGATGCTAAGTATATCGGACCGAGAAGACTGGTAGAATTCGATATCACATAGACATCGTGTCATCGATGGAAAGAAATACCACGCAAGAGAAATAGCGCATTAGCGTCACAGAATGTAAATTTAACAGTGTTCTAGGGACAGACCGCAAGGTCATCCTAACCGGCAGAAGTAGTGCTCACGTCTATCTGTTCGTTCTGCTATAGAGTGCGACTGCCATATCTCATTGACAGCGTTCGGATCCGTTCATGGAGACCTCACATTTCAGGGACACGTAGGGAGTCTGTTAAACGGAATCCCGCATGTACTTCCCATGAACAAGCTGATCACCTGGTAATTACGACAGCCTCTCGCAAATTGTTCAGCGGGGATTTTCTGTCGGACTTCTAGAAACTCACAGCATCTCCGACACGACGGCCGTTGCATCACACAGCTGACCTGGCTGATTATCGACGGTGGAGTTGCAGAGATGTTGGGATCACCGCCGGAGGAACCGATATCACGAACCATTCCATCAACACACCTAGAATCTGTTCTCGACGTTCGCCGGGTTATCGCGGCGGTCCAAACGCAGCTCGGCAGGCGGAGCTGAAGCTGAGAGGAAGCAGCATACGGAAGTTCTGCAAATTTTCAACTGACGAGCTGTCTGTTCTAAAAATGTACCCACCTTTGTCTCGCCTCTGAGTACTAGAAGATGGGTTGCATCTACTATCACAGTTGCCCACATGTCACCTTCTGTCCCCACTCGGTATACCTAACCGACCTATTCTGCGATCCGACGGTTCTCATGACACTATTCACGGCACACAGGCTAAAATCTCAGCCGGACACTAGGTTGGTGGGAATGAACACCAGCGGCACAATATAGCAAAGGACACTGATATTGTAGGCCCGTGTCAGAATAATTCGGCCGCGAACGAGACCTGTAAACGCACCGGTGTCGTTCTTGAATCACATCGACTAACTGTTGACTGAGAAAAATGCAATAATCAATTTCTACATGAGACTCAATCAATATGAACTGCGACATCATCGTCTTCAAAGACATGAACAACCCCAAAAGCATTTGAATAGCGAAGTCATCGAAATTGGGACCATACAAGTCATCACACATCCGCGCTTTTCACGAGTAAGACGCTTCTAGGACTAGAAGTATCGCTATACTTACAAGACTACGCCTTCTTGCCTTACGCCAATCTCCGGGCCAGTCTATCAACCTCTGCACAACCATCCGCGCCTCTTACGCAAAGCACCGTAGCCGCCCCCTTGTCTTCTGAATCCGGAATCAAGCATTTAATGTCTTGCACGTTAGGACAAGGGCAGTCGGACGTCTTCGAGACGCAAACGAGCGTGTCCGGGCACAGATACTGGGAGCAAGAAACTGGTGCGCGCGGCAGCGTCAACAATGGTGGTATCTTACAAGAACACAAACACAGCAAGCATACCGCTTTCCGAATGGGCCATCCACTGCCCCGCGCTGGGAGTTGACGATCTCTGCTGCTGCTGTTGCGCGTGTTGCCCGAATATTTGATCAAAAAAGTTGAACTGGGCATGGATCATTGTGAAAAGCGATGCCATGATGCAGAGGAGGAGGGCTCTAGAGAACATAGCAGCAATAATATGGCGGGGTCGCCGGAAGAAACAAAGTTTCAGAGATATAATATAATGTTGCCTTTAAACCTTAGGCAAGGCTTGCTAAAATAGTGATCGAGATCTGCCAGTCGCGACCCGACACGTCCATACGGCCAAACAACGCTACGCCACGCCCCAAAGCTGAGGAGACTTTGGAATCAGAGAACCTGCACTAACTATTCACTGCTGTCGAAGACACACGGAGATTGCGAGTCTACTGTCATTGCGACGAATCTATCAGCTATATCATACATGTGTACTTTGGCTTATGCGACTGTCATCTGGACGCTTATCGAGATAACATAATGCTGTAGATGAATAGGCAAATAATGATGTAAAATAGTGGATGTGTGCGAGTTTGCGAATACGGACGAGGAATGAAATGATGGGATGTGTAGTGACGAGAGGGAATTGAAGCCATAGCCATGCCATGTTGAACCATGCAACTCTCAGAGAGGCGCGTCCGCCCTCTCATTCTCCATGCGCACGGAGCTTGTGTTGATCAAACGGGATCCATTGCCCTCCCAAAATCTCAAGATATCGTCGGAGCGATGCATGATCGCGAACTCTTCACGAGCTCTCTTCGTCCTTGGCGATGCCGACATTGATGCTTCCCTGGCTGAACCAATCTCCTTCCGCTTCAGGCTTGGTGAAAACAAATTTGCTTTGACCCAAGCTACGTGGTTGGGAACTCCATCGGCAGCGCCGCGATGTCGAGGAATTCGGGGCGGTACATTCTCCTTCTCGTACTCTCTATCCCGCCTAGATCGCCCGATTACCAAAGGATATCCGTCGGGACTGTCCTTGACGTCAATGCTTGCTACATTCTCCTTCTCGCATTCTTTGTCCTGTCTCGACGGCTCGACCACAAAGAGATTTCCGTAATAACCGACTTTCGACTGTGTGTCAGGCTTAGGCTCCCGCTCTTTTTCATCCGGGTAAGCATCGTAGGGGTCGAAATAGACATCGAACCCTGGATAGTGGAAGGACTGACGATCGGGAGGAATGGTCGAAGGCGGAGGCATTAATTGTGTAGCTTCTGCAGACAGTAATAAGCCAGGGGGTCTTGTGAGGAACGCGTCTGCTTGGGCATCGCCATGAGACATCGAGGGACCAGGAGTCGATATGGAGATGGTCGCCTCAGTTAAAACATCTGCTTCGAGCGTTGCACCAACTTGGACTAATTTTGGAAGCGTGCGGTCTGCAAGGCTGAACTGAGGCTTTAGGGTGAGGTCGGTCAGGCCGTGAGGGAGGATGTTGAAGGAAGACGAGGCGAAATTTCCACTCGCCGTAGCCAACATCGAGCGCTGCGCTATCTCATGGGAATTTTCGTTTTCCGCACACAAGATACGTCGTTTAGGTGGACTGCATGTTACAGAACCTCCCGGGGAACGAGGTCGTTTGCGAGGTCGGATACTACCAGTGCGCCCGGACAGGAATGGTTCCAGAGGGAGCTCCTGGAGAGGGCCATGATACGAGGAGCTCTTATATCTCGGATGTCGAACGAGACCACTCTCTGAAACAAGCATGGGGTGTGTAGCATACAGCAGCGACCTGGCAGTACCCAGATGAATTCGATGTCGGCGAACTGAGCAGAGAAAGCGAAGGTCCGTTACGGTCACGTATGTCACGTCACGATTCAGATTCAAACGCGGCATCGATTATGCTCTGAGCAGCCGAATTGGTCACTGGTACGTTGGATTCGTACATTAGGCACAGCGGAGACAAAATAAAGAGTATCATAGAACAAGAATACAATAACAGCAAACACGACAAAAGCAATCCTATATCAACTCAGCAGCATTTACAGGCATCTCGTCCTGCGTCATGGGCTGTCAGCAAACAAATCCTGTTGCATAAGAAATAGAACTTACGATTTGTGTACTGTAGAATTGTTCTATTGAATCAAGCATTAACAAGCAGTGCTGAAACTGTGGGCGGAACAGGGACATACCAATATCGCGAAGAATACGAACATCGTCAACCGTCACAAACTGCGTGACGAAGCTGCTCAGAATATATAGCCCAGAAATGCAGTATGAACCTACATTGATTGCGACACCCTTCCTTCCAAACCGGCCTGATCGACCAATACGATGGATGTAGTTTTCACGATTTCTGCAATAGATCATTAGGATGCAAAACATTACCAGCTTCCATAAAAAGGCTTACGCGGGCAAATCATAGTTAATGACTAGTGAGACCTGCTGAACGTCGATTCCGCGCGCCCAGACGTCCGTAGTGATAAGGACACGTCTGGTGAAGCATGTAGTCAAGTTAAATTGGCTTTGAGAGGAAGCCACGCACGATGTTCCACTGCGGAATTCCGCCATAATAGCATCTCGCTCCTTCTGAACCATTTCACCGTGCATCGACGAGACAGTGAAGTTAGCGGCTCGCATTTTTTCTGTCAACCAATCGACCTGATGGGAGAGAGAGGTCTGATGGCTGACGCATTACGTAGACACACCACTTACCTTCCTCCGTGTGTTGCAGAAGATGACAGCTTGAGTAATGGTAAGAGTGTCGTACAAGTCGCAGAGCGTGTCGAATTTCCAGTCCTCCTTCTCCACAGCGACGAAAAATTGTTTGATACCCTCCAATGTCAATTCATCACGCTTGACAAGGATGCGAATGGGATCGGTCATAAATTTTGTCGTCATTTCGAGGACATCGTAAGGCAGAGTAGCACTGAGTAGTACTACTTGCGTCGCGGGGGGTAAATACCGATAGACGTCGTATATTTGGTCCTTGAACCCTTTGTTTAACAGCTCATCTGCTTCGTCCAGAACCAGCATTTTGATGTTTCGTGTCCGCAGACTCCGGCGACGGATCATGTCGAACACACGGCCAGGAGTACCAGATACTACGTGTTGACCATACTCCAGCTTCCGAATGTCCTCTCCAATAGAAGTTCCACCAATACACGCGTGGCATTGGACATTCATGTAGTCCCCGAGAGCGAGGACGACGGATTGAATCTGTGTAGCCAGCTCTCGGGTAGGGCTGAGAACAAGGGCTTGTGTCTCGCGGACAGTTACGTCGATGGATTGCAAGATGGATATGGAGAATGTGGCAGTTTTTCCCGTACCAGACTGTGCTTGAGCGATGACATCTCTCCCCTGGATTATAGGAAGAATGGCACGCTGCTGGATAGCCGACGGTTTCTCAAAGTCTACATTGGCTGATTAAGTGGGCCGATGCGACAGAGAAAGTAGACACGTACTATAAGCATAGATACCACGGAGAAGATCCTCCTTCAAGCCGAGGTCATCAAAAGTCGAGACTACCGAGACGGTCTCGGAAGACTCGAATATGAGTTTCTGCGCGTAAACAGTCGGTCAGAGCGAGATTTCCAGGAAGGCTGGAGACATACCTCGTCGCCGGCGTTGATGCCAGACATGGTCGACTAGAGAGTGGAGAGCGCTGAGTAGCAGTGGGCGAGAACACAGCGCAAAAGGGGCGGACTTTGAACTTCTCGTCTCTCCCTACGACGGGCGTCTCTGTTTGTCTTCGCCTGGCTCTGTCGCGCGCCATGGATTCTATCCTCGAGGTCCAACGGCACACCCACGAAGATATAGAGCATTTCGAAAGAGCCCTTTATACGATCCTCTCCAAGCCTCAGCAAACCCATGAATCCCAGCTGCAGGTGGAACACAAGGCATCCCAGCTCCTGGACCGCTTGTCCTCTCGTCTCGTCTCCTTGAACAACCTGTACGAAGACCAGGATACCAGGAAAGTTGAGATAGACTCTCTCTCTGCGCCTCAACATCAACAAAATGACCTTTCCGCTTTCTACTCTCGGCTGGGCAAAATCCAAGAGCACTACGCCAAGTATCCGGACGCCCTCGTTGCAGGTTTCGATCCTGAGCTAGCAGCACTTCTAGATGATGATGACCAGGGCTATGGTGACGATGAATATGAGGACGATGATCGTGCGTGGCTTTGTGTTCTATACGCGGTTCGTGCTTAACTACCTGATTCACTAGCTGTTGCTCTGCTGTTCTCTGGAGAGGAAGCATACGGAAAGTATCTCGACTTATACACCAACCACACCGCGTACAACAATCTCAAGAATGTTGGCAAGCGTTTGGGCTACCTTCAATATCTCGATGTTCTCCTGGCCGCACAGTCTGTACCAGTACATTCAGATCTGCCGAAGGAATGCCGCCTGACGAGGGATTATGAACTGTGCGTCTCCACGTACCGGTATCTGCTGTCTTGCTGAATAGACCTAGTTACATTAAAGCTCTGCATACGTATCTTGTGTCTTTTACCAAGCGTGCGCAGCCTCTTGTTGACGTCGATTCTCGGCAACGCGAGGCCGAATTGAAGTTTGCCCGACAATGGGAAGATGGACAAACCGATGATTGGGAGGAGTCTCGTCAGGGTAAACCAGTTGCAAATGGAGGAGATAAGGCAGAGGGGATTTGGTGTGCGGCATGTAAGTTCGAATATTCTCTAGTCCACCCTGGTCTCAACCTCCGACTTCCAGGCCAGAAATTGTACTCTAAGCAGACTGTATACGATGCACATCTCACATCAAAAAAACATATTAAAGCTACTCAGAAGCAGGCGAACGCGTCGGAGCAGCCACCTCCAAATCCTAACGGGCCTGCTTCATCGTCATTAACAACAAATGACAAGGATAGTGCACAGTCATCTACCAAGGACAAGCACCGTACTGCTGCTTTCCTAACGCATCTGACCACGCAGCTGCTGATCTCACTTGCGCCTGTGCTCAACGAGACGAAGTCAAATGTCGAGCGTCGATTCTCGCTGACTGCTCGTGAACGTGAGCAGGAATTGCTGGACCAGGCGAAAAAACCTCCACAAGCTACAGCCGCTCCTGCAAATGGAGAAGGCGGCGCTGAGGAAGAGGAAGAGGAGGAACGAATCTATAACCCACTCAAATTGCCATTGGGATGGGACGGAAAGCCTATACCATATTGGCTTTACAAATTACATGGACTAGGTGTGGAGTATCGGTGCGAAATTTGCTCAGACCATGTCTATATGGGCAGGTGAGTCTTAGGACAGCGTACAGAGTTTGTTGACACGAATGAGACTATTTCGGACAGGAAAAACTTCGATCGACATTTCCAGGTGTGTACTGAAGCCTGTTTGTTCGAACAGACCTAATTATGGCTTTCGATGCAGGAGTCGAGGCATGCGTTTGGTATGCGCGCTCTGGGCCTTCCGAATACGAAGCACTTCCATGAAATCACTCGAATCGAAGATGCGCTCGCTCGTAAGTGCACATTTGCTACGCCGTTGAGGGTGGTTTTAATTCTCTTCAATGTGGTAGTTGCTGAGAAGTTAAAGCGAGAAGGACGGAACGAGATATTCGAGCAGGAAACCATGGAGGAACTAGAGGACGAGGAGGGCAACGTCTACAACCGCAAGACGTATGAGGACCTGAAGAAGCAAGGCCTCATCTAAGCTTGACGTTGCGAGGCTACGCAGTACTTCTTGTCCTGGTTCCTGTAGATATTCGTTATATTATTACAGTACATTCTCTACTACGAGCTATTGGTTCAGATCTTCAAGTGCTTTCTTTTCCCGGGAGTTTATTTCGTGATGGTGGGGGTGGAGGTGGTCGCCGTGCTGCTTGGACTGGGGCCATTGGACTTTGAAGGGCGAGAGTCTGGTAAAGCTCTTCCTCTGAAGATGATGGGGATGAGGAGAGTGTTGATTCATCTGAAGAGTCGAATGGATTGCCACCCTCGAACCGTTTTAAATTCTTGGAAACGAACAGTTCGTTTGGATAATCTGCAGCGCATATATCGAAGGTTGAGACAACAAAAGAATTATGGAAATTTACCTGGATCATCCCACCAGACAGCATCATCTGAACTTGGAGTGGGGACTGTGCAGTCATCATAAGGTCAGACAAGAAATAGAGTCTATCGGACTGCACTAACGGTCGCTGTTAATATTTGAGAATGAGAGTTTTGCTAGCTTCTCGTCGAGTGTCTCTCCCGGTGCGGTGGCCGTCACGCTTTCGAAAAGGAGACGCGACAAGTCCGCTCGCTTCGCTTGATCGATAATACGAACCTCAGCGCGGAATAAGGCAAATACTGTGTGTACGAGGTGAATTCATGACATTGACAGGCCTCAGAGTTTACTAGCCTGGTCGGTGATCAGAACTTTTCAGCTCAGCCCTCGAATAGGCAGCCAAGTCGAGCTGGGAACCCTTGAACAAGATGCGATCTGCGCACACGGTTTAGCCACATTAAGGTATTGGGGAAAAAATAATGATGCTATGCTCACCTGTCCAAGCGGGGATACGCATCTTTTCGCCCGTGTCATATCTATCTGTCCCTACGTCGTACTTATACGTTGGACGAAACAGCAGTGGACCCTCTTGGTAACCTGAGAACGCGGCACCCTCGTCCATTGATTGCTTCAGCTGTTCGTATTGTCAGCAGTGTCATTACAATTGTGTGACATGCATTACCTGATCAGCAGCCAAAAGTGCATCATAGTCTTCGGACTGTGCGAGAAATCTGGCGCGCTCATTCTCCAGATCAATGCGGTAATTAGTGTCGGCTAGCCACATGATATTTCTGGTTTGAAAAGTTACTCATGAACGATCGCGAGACAGCGGGAGCAGCTCACTCGTGGCTGTCTATCGTCTTCCCTTTGAGGAACGCCAGGCCACTTGCGATTGTGCGATAGTCTGCATTGCGCTCGTGAACATTGGCATGTCCAGCAGCGAGGTGAGCAGTTATGAAGCAGAAGCTCGTATCATGGTAATCGAGCCGGATTCCGACCGCTCCTTTATTACCCGACATGCCGCGAAGGCCAGTCTGTGCCAAAATGAGCAACGACAACTTGCTATGGGCGTAAAGTTCACACTTTTTGAGACGTGGCTTCCACACTTCGAATTACAGATGTAAGTTCTGATTGTACTAGGACCATCATCGCGGTCCCAACCAGCTGCGGCGAAGGAACGTTGTAAATCAGTACAGCTGGCAACACCGTGTCATCCATAACTACCTGCTGGCTACGGAGGAGGATGTACTCGCTCTTCCTATCTGGTCGGCGATTGATAGTATCCAGAATTTTGACTTCCCATGCACGCCTGTTTAAATCAGTAAACAAACGTCTGGCTCGTCATAGCAGTCGCATTTATACCTCTTTTCGGGATCGGCTTGGACGATCTGCTGAGCAGTTAAGGGTACAATTTCCTGGAAGCCCAATACAAATATATCTGGACTGCAAGGATCAAGGATCAATCGAAGATAAACAAGCGCAGACATACTCGACCGTAGCTAGAATAATAGTCAGGGCGTATACAGTGATGACAATTAGATCACTTACTGGAACGCGGGAACAACCACGGCAACAAAGATTCAGAAGATGGGGGCTAAGCATGACAGGAAATGAATCCGCTATATTTTGTTCGCTGTGTTGTGGACCTACCCTTCCGTTCAGGTTCCAAGTACCTACAAAGATGGTGCACTGTTTCGTCGTCGAATATTCCGGTAATCTGTTTCCGGTATCAGCGATGAAAAATTGAATCAAAGGATGACGCTTACCGAGCCTCCAGGGCTCGTCGAACTGAGTCGTGAATAGGGTCGTAGATGGTCACCCTTGTCTGAGTGCTTAAATTACCCTACGATAGATCTCGTTGTCATTAGCATTCTAAAACGATATCTTTCCGCGCTCACCACTAGCATATCTATTGCAACCTGTTTGCCCTTATCTTGAAAATTGTTGATGTACGCCCTAGAAACGCTTTTGGTTGCATCCGACAGGACGCCTGCAACAAACCGATGAGTTTTTGCCTGGAGATCTACGCGAAGAAACCGACCTGCTAGAGTGCGCTTGCCACTTCGTGTAAAGCTCGTGTTGAGTGCACCTGTACCAGCATATATGCGGGACAGCGCATCTCCATTCTCAGCCCAGACCTCGCGGTGGTGACCCCAGAGGATGCCAGATTGAAGCCATTCTCGACGGATGTGTGTAAGGAACTGCTCCAGCATAGTACGTGACAGGATATCCTGTACGAAATTGGTGCGATCTAAGCTGATGTCCGGGCGAGTATATGAGCGCACGCCGGCTCCGGAAAGAACAACTACTTACCAATCAAGACAGTTTGTTCTAAATGCACCTTTCTGATCCGTAATGAGATCGTCTGAAGAGGCATCGGTCATCGTGAAGCCAAATTTGTCCACATTGTCTGCCACACTAGGAAGCCGTCTAACGGAGAAGTCAACTCATGAAATGCATTTGGAAGTGATATCCAGCAAATACATACTTGACCTCTCGGGGCACACTTTCATGACCACCTATCCTGACCGCGTTATGGAAATCGAAGTGAGTTATACCGACTGTGTCGCCCATAATCACCTTAGCCGATTCTAAATGCCGTGCATATGCCGCGGTGAGTATTGCCTCATTCTCTTTGCTTCCAAGTAAATTGATGGCATGTATAGACCCATACTCCTCAATGAGCTGCATCATATGACGATCAAATGCAGGTTGGGAAGCCTGAGGCCGGGTAATCTGGATTCGATGGCCGAACGTTTGAAGACCCTGTTGCTCCCAGAACACTAAAATAAAACGCAAAGGTAAAGGTAAATGTCATTATATTGGAGTACAGGAGAGTACATACATGGCACACTGCCTCTGACTTGGGCGTAACTAAAGCAGTGCTGATCGGTACTGAATAGTGTTTCCGTCTACAGGTATATATACTCAGGTTGAAAGTGCTGTACGGCATAGCGTCGTACACACCTCTACGAAATTGGCACAATTCCCATCGTCATCCACGCCTCTGGTGTTGAAACGGGTACCGGACCGCTTCCATCCCAAGCGGGAGATGAGCGATAACGTCGCCATGACGGGCGAGCCACTCGTCGGCGGAGCAGGCAAGGGAATAGTATACGTACCCACATATCCCTGAATGGCTAAAATCTGATCAAAATGATATCATTCTCGTTCCATATGATATATGAAGCCACTTACAATGTAGTGACATCGATCCAAGTCTTCGCGCTCTTGCGCATCCAGCCGCTCTCTAAAATCAAGCAGACTTCTGACGATGTAGTCATTCCAAACAAATCTTTCATCATACTCTCCAATGTCGAAGGTTGTCCCAGCTGGACGTCGGCGAGCAAGACGTACGGACAAGCGCGAAGATAAGTCCCAGTGCGGCTCGAGAGCGTAATAGAAGGTACCCGCGGATATAATCTTGGTTAATGGAGCGCAAGGATGTTCGAACAGAGAGTTGGAGGCCGAGGATGATGTATACGGATCGCGCATGACCGAATCTGCCTGGTCGCCATATCCTGGACTTGGTGTAATTTCCCCAGTTCCAGAGAGATCGTCCCACACTGAAGAGCTCAAGCTGTAGAACCCAGCTTCATGGATTTGCGCTACAACCTCTGGCGTCGCTGCAGAGGGTCGAGTATCACCAATCTCCGATGACGAAGTGACTACCACAAGGAAAATATCTGTGCATGGTTTGTCACGACCAATTCACAAAGCAAAGGCTTTCAAAGGAGCAAAAGACCAACCATCTGAGACGGAAATCAAACCCAAGCAGCCTTTGATATTCCTCGACGTCAACCTGACTGCGTTTGTCAAGTCAACCTGGTCCCTGGGCAAGAATTGGACGACCGCCTGAGCCTCGATAGTATCGTCTGCAGAGTCAGCCGCCTGAAACACTAGAGCTCTACTTGGACGCCCTTGTCGTTCTTCCTGTACAGTTGTCACAAGATAGAGCCTCCTAGGACTTTCCGCAACATATAGATGCATTTTATACAGAACGATTCAGGGTGAGTTCGAGGCTTCCGGAATTGTGCTCGAGACCAATATGACGGTCGTGAGCCCCTGAGGTCCTGCGATCGCGAAGGTGCACAGTATTCCCGGTCGTCGAATATTAGCGATGAAGTCAAGATAGCCTGCTAGGGCTTAGATTGGTATCAGGTTGTGCACGCAGTCTGCAACGCGGCAGTCGACGTCGTCCATGTTGACCGGGCGTGCGAACGATGATCGGTGGCGAACCCAAGTCAGTCTTACAACTGAAGTTGCTTGGTTCATCAGTCAAACATTAACAGTGCAGTAGTCATAGTGTTACAATACTATCAGAAATTATATGTTGCGCAGTCATGAGACGGTCACATCGTCCACGTAGCAGCCCCTGAAAGCCTTCATAAATTACGGTTCCACGAACATGACAAGTTAAAAGAGTTTCATGCTACAATGTCCCTGGATTGCCACTCCCATATGCACTGGCCGCTCGCCTCATTTCTAAACGTCCTTCGGGCCTTCGTGGGGGTGTTCCTACTGTAGTCACCCTTCTGGGCGGCGTGCCTAACCTGAAAGGCGTCAAATGGTCCGAGGAATCATTTGCCCCTGCATCCAGGTGGTATTCACTGGATGTTCGTCTCGTGGGTGAAATAAGGGGCGGCGGAAGGCTATGTAATGACGGCACTCGTTGCATTGGAGTAGGCGTATGCGCAGGCGATGTTGATGTCTCTGAGCGTATGATGTTGGGGGAGTGGGGGGCGATAAGACCATCAGATGTACCGTGTCGGCGGGGTCGGGGACGGATTTGCGGAAGCGAATCGAAGAGTGATCTGAAGAGTGAGCCTCGAGAACGGGCCATCATTGGTCTGGCGGGAGCGGTGGGCGTGGTGGGCACGCTGCCATGTCCTGAAAAGAAAGGGGATCAGGAGCCGTATATGATGGCAGCATAGATTCAAACCTGAGTTCGTCGGGAGTGCGTTGTCATTCGCGCTTAAGCTGAGGAAGAGAAAAAGTGGAACAAGCCACACACACAGGCCAAAAAAAGTTGCAATGTCGGCAAATCCAGGCACAGATCCATGACTCTGTTGAGATCCGTATGATCTGTGCGCCTTGTGTCTAGCCTCCTGAGTTATGCGTGCAAAGTAAAAGAACCACATAAAGTGATCTGATATGACGAGTAGACATGATGCGATGAAACTTGGTGATGTTAAAGATATCAACGGCCAGGTGAAGGTAAAATTCTGCAGGTAAACCACATGACAGAATACGGAGAATAGGGTATGTTTTAAAGGCAAGGATTCCGAGAAATAGAGCACAATATGCAGGGCAATAATGATCTGGAAAAGCGTTGGAAATCCGAGTAATCAAGAATGGCCTCTCACTCACATAAATACTTCGTTGACCGACTAACTTTGCAATTCGAGTATGTTCTTCAATAAGCTCCGAGAGCCAGAGAAGGCCGCTGGCTACATTGACACAAATGTCATCGAAGCGTCCTGACTGACAAGAGGGTAGCAAACACGTACCCAGCGAAAGAGTAACAAATAGAAACGCTGCAGCTGCCCCGGCGTAGCTGATAGATTGAAATTAGAATTATATCGCGTTTGTCAAGGAGGGCCACCAACCTGAGTATGTGAAGTAGTGACATTGACCCAGGTAATACAGGCCGCCCAGCTGGACCAGAACAGAACAGAGTTACTCAGGGCTTTACCGTGTCCAGAGAAAATCGTGACATTCGACAGGCTTCGTATATGTTTTGGGAGAATGGGTAAGACCAGAGTAAAACCGTACTGCCACCTCTGTATTTGAATCCGACAGGACGTCTGCACGCGGATGATTCTGAAGTGGCGTCTCCGCGCTCTGTTGTTTACGTATATTTTCTCTCCGGCATGACATTGATACTAGGTCACATTCTGTAGCAGAGCTACTCAGTATTATGGATTTGCTATTTCAGAACTCTCCACTTCTCCTTTGAATTGTTTAAAATACAATTGGGGACGCAGGACGCGGACAAGAAATCGTGCTAGTGCTGGCATACTGTCACAGTGCAGAACTCGACTGCCACCGTAACTAGGATCGAGCGGAATAATAGCGGCTGGTGTGCCACTTCAAGTTAAGGACGTGGACGTATCACCACAATGCACGTAAACTTTGCACCTTTGCACCCATTGAAATGTCTAGAGGTTGCAGTAGTGGGATGCCGATCTGAATCTGTACATATCCATTTTGGGATAGCCACTATGACATTCACAAGTGGTTATAAGCGAAGCAACAGTCTATACCATCTCACTCACACACCAAACCTAAGAAGATGGATGTCTATATAATACTAGGCACATAGCAAAGGTTGCGACTCCCCTAGCGAACTAGGATTCCTACAGATATTACAGGACAAACAATACATGCTGTTTGGCGCTTTCTCGATTATTACTACTCAGTGTTTCTATTATGAGAAAGCACATTTTACGAGTAAATGTCCCCCGAATCTCAGCAGGTTCAGGCGCTCGGAATCGGATTGTAGATGATCGGGGTGCTAGAGAGCCCGTATTCTTTCGCTACGTAGCCCTGAATAGCTTACGTATTTAGCGGATCACTGAGTGAGTGAATGAGAATGACGTACAGGGCAATCCATGTACGTCTCGATTACAGCGAGGTAAAGAGTGGCGTTACTGAATATCAGCCCTCCAAACGCGGCAGTGGAGAAGTCGGGCATCGTGAGCGTCGAAGGTGGAGGCGGAGGGGTCTGTTCGGCAGGGAGACCTAGAGATATAAAGCGTCAGGATGCTACGTTTGTCGATGTCTGCTTGACTGTCTACTCACCAAAGTTGGGGATGAGCCACTCGCCGAAGTTGTAGAGGTAAGTCCCGTTAGGGAATACACCATCAGATGTGACGTCGGCATCGGTGGGCTCCTGCTCCAGAAGCCAGACGGTGATGGGCTCGTAGCCCGACTCACAATAATTGATGGAGTCGAAGTCGAAGTCGAAGATAGCGCCTGGAACGATGGACGCGTTCCCCGAGGGTGCAACGATGGAGCCATGAGAGGGTACGACGTATTGCCGCTTGGTGGGCACGCTCGCGGCATGTCCAACAAGAGCAGAGACAACGGACACAAGGGGAAACAGGTAGCCGAACTTGAGCTGCATGTCTGCGTGTTTGTGCTTGAGAGAGAAGGCAAAGTGGGGGAGGACTGAGGAAAGCGAGTTTCATCCCTTTGAGCTTTTATACCTCTGGAAGAGGTCGCGCCCGCCGTAGAATTATCTTGACTCGACTAAATTGCGTGGAGCCGATAGGTCGAGGCTTGGATTATTGCCAAGGGTGGTCGTATCTACAGCTTCATTTCGTAAAATCGAGACCAGTCCCAGAAGATCGCAAACTGAAACAAACTATGCGCCCGGAGCCAGGGCAGGTTCTTCCAATACGGGATGGCCGGACGTCGGAGTGCGGCGGTACCTTGACATCATGAGAGTGCGCAGGAGGCGGAACAACAGAGCTATCAATCAGGAACGCGGTGGTAGAAACCAGACAGCTGGGGTGATCGCAGGTGTACGACCGCAGAATGAATAACTGCCCAAACTCTACGCGTATGCGCACCGGAGGCAAGCCGGGCCATTATAGAACTATCAGGAGTACCTGGCTCTAGATAACCAATTCTGTGAGGGATTCAACGAATAAAGCCTTAGGCAGATTCTCATAATGCGAAAGGACGCCACAGGCATCCTAAATCTTAAGCGAAACGTGCGCCGAGGCGCGCTCATCTCGGGCATGTAGCGCGGGGACGCCCTGATGTGCGCGCCACGGCACAGATCAAGCACCGGGTCCGAGATAAATGCCATAGCAGGCCGGTGGAAGCCACGAAATGAAAGTAGGCACGGTTAGAAATTATGCTCACCACCGTTTAACCACCGTATCTGCGCTGAATTGCGGAAAGCAAACTTAGATTTCAATAGCGGGATGATTTTCTCACGTCGGCGGTGGTCCTCCTTGCATCCATGGTCGGGAATTTGGCACAGGCAGTGCGCGCGACGGCTGGCACCGGGTCGACATCGGCGTGCTACACGGGGCCAATAAGGACATCAAGAGATTGACGTCTAGGCGTTCCATGGCTGACTAGGCCTTACGGATTGACGGAATCTATGGCAGACCTAGCTTTGAGCAGACCCGCGGAAGCTCCCAGTCTGAATTTCGTTCAATTGTCCCTGACTTGCGATGCATAGTAAGAAAGGAAGATGTTAAAGGCAAGATAACAGGCCCACCTAAGATTTGGCTAGAGTGAGCGAGATAGGAATACGCGCGAGATCGCATAAAAAGCCTCGGCAACTCGCGACTGAGCTCAGCTTGATCAGCCATGCTCCTAGATGATTTCAAAGCCAGACTTGTGGTGAGTAAAGCAATCTGCGAGGAATCAAACGAATACGAGAAGTATGATTTAACGGAACATTTACACGGGGATAGTGAGGCAGCGAGTAAGAGCACCCGTTAAGACCCTCGAAGGGGATCCAGGTGAATATGGGCGGATATGAAACCGTGCTTTGCAGACGCTCTTGCATTAATGTGAGATAAGTTAATACCATCAATACTAAATCAATGATGTCAATTTATCCAGAGCGATAGGTATTTCTAAGAGACTGAAGCTGCAAAAGGTTTTCTTATTCGCGCGAGAGAATAGCGAAGTGATACAGGTTCCGGGTTGGAGCGAAATGCATCGCAACATGTTCGGGAATACAGCTAGCTCCACGTACCAGAATATTGCTCATCATTCTATAAAGGCCACCGCTATTGACTCCATTCGACGACTCAATCCATAAATACATTTCGACCTTAAGATGTCTTGCGAAAATGGTCAACGCCGTGGGAAGTACATCTGCTTGACAAGGGGCCTGGAATTACAGGGTTCAGATGAGCATGGAGGAGGAGACAGAAGCGAAACAGAAGCCTGAAAACACCACGCGGGCTGCCGGCGTTCTGGGCAGGGGGATGTCGCTTTTGAGTCTAAGACTTTCCCATTTGAACCTTAGCACTAGAAATCCGACGGAAGTCAGAGTGAGGTGGTGACCCGCGGGCAGTGGGATTTAGAACTGGTGCAAGACAAGGTTCAACTGCAAGAAGCAAGGCACTGGGAGAATCGCTACATTTCAGATTTCATGTGATACGACATGAATTCGGCGCTAAAAGTCGGGACTCTCCGAAGCTCTAATATATAGTCGAAGACACGATTGCTATATTGCAATTACTATTTTATACTCTGTTTAGTACCTCCAAACCCAAGAGGCTTATGACTTACGTCCATTAGTGCCCACTGTCAAGTTCCTGCCCCGGGGGCCTGAGTTCCTGAACTACCCTTCTTCTCGGAGGAATGCATCAAAGGTGTAGTATACGCCACATAAACCGCGGGTACATGGCTTCTGTATGCTGTGTTTTTGATTGTCAGCTGCAATCAGTACATATGTCAATGAACACCAAGGCTCGCGAACTCGGTCCCTCTTCCATCCTATCAAATGAGCAATGCCCGTGTCACCCCGAGAAAGTTATTATTAAATGACATTCCGTGTGCGTCTCCGCGAAATCATATGTCACAATAATCACACTGAATTTCAACGTGTTCTGCGAGGCTTGCGACCCTATTATGGATCTATTTCTGGATTTCTGGAGATGTCCGTCTTCCGCAACTGCGGTCTTCATTTATATCCACCTTAGAACTTGAAGCGCGACCCTGGCAGCTGTAGTTTGTCGTAACCGACTTCAAATATGAAGGAACCTTCGACAAGCTCGCTACCGTCTTACACCCCCTCTACACCAGTTCAATCGCGCAGTAGTAAGTACTTGTCCCGACTTGTGCCACGAGGGTGTCCAGTGCGCGCGTGTCATGGTTGAACCTCATCACCCTCGAGGCTCGGATCGCTCAGCGAGGACGAACTTGAACAGTGACGTGCATCATCACGTGCGGATGTGGAAGAGCCAGCAGCAAAATGTCTTTGACAGCTTCTGTTGCTTTTTGAGCTTATGGGCCTAGCTATGCACTTGTACTACCCAAGTTCGTCCTACTCAAGTTCCTCGGGCACTACAAGGTTTATCTGCTCACCATGCGTGCAACAATTTAAACGGTAGTCACACAACAAGCTCTATCGTAGGCGCGCAAAGCGGCGATACCGCGTGGGCCGTGGCCAATTATGGTCACCGATGGGGGACGATAAGAGAGCAGCCATCTTCCCAGTGTCTGCCCTCGACGCCCATGCATACAAGCAATTTATATACTTAAGCCCTTGTCATGGGTTGCTTCCACTCCAGGTCTGAACCATACGAACCCGAGACTCACCTCGTCCGACAGCCGCATAGACAATCATCATCACACACCTCTCCCATGAGCGAGTCCCACCTCCACCACCTTGCCCGGCCAGACCGTTATGCGACCGGGATGCGCCCGTCGTTCTACTCTGCCTATGCCCGCGCGGCGAGGCGGTACGGCTTTGAGGGCGGTAAATACGGTGGCTTTGCGTTCCGGAACAACGCCGTCGTCAAGCTGGTCGGCACACACGACAGGAGTGCCGACCACGAGGTGCCCGCAGAGGCCATCCAGAACGGTGCGCAATGCGTTTGCTCTATCTCCGTCGTGCGGAGCCGAGTGAAATTAACAATCTGCGTTTAGAGTATGTATATTACTTATCGTATGAGATCCAGCGTGGAGCCGGCGATCTAATGTGCCTGGAATGGCAGCCTTGAATATGTTGTGCCCGTGAGCATCGGGACACCCCCCGTCACGCTCAACTTGGACTTTGATACGGGCTCGTCGGATCTGTGGGTATGGAGGTGCGTCGTGTCAGCCGTGCTTGTGTGATTACCCAGGCAGACGCGTTGGCTTGCGAATACCAGCTCGGAGCTTGCAGGAGCTGAGAAGTACAGGCAGCAGCACCGGCTCTACCACCCAGAGCGGTCTGAAACTTCGTCGAAGACGGATGGCACGTGGAAGATTTCGTATGGTGATGGCTCGTCGGCGTCGGGCGACGTGTATACGGATCACGTCAGGGTTGCAGGGGTGCACATTCATGGCCAGGCCGTTGAGGTTGCACAGCACCTGAGCAAGAACTTCTTGACAGACGGCGGTAATGATGGATTGTTGGGCCTCGCCTGGCCGTCGATCAACACTGTGCAGCCTAACGCAGTCGCTACGCCCGTACAGAATATGATTGACAAGAATCTGATCAACCCGGTGTGTTGACATCTTATTTCTTGTCTAGACTGTTGTACTGAAGACTGCTTCTCCAGCCCGTCTTCACGGTGAAATTGGGGCACAATGGAGAGTCGAGCTTCTATTCCTTTGGTATGGGCGTCAGTTGCATTCAGTTGCGTGTATAGCTCAACGAGTGCCCCAGGTCATATCGACACGACCGTGACCTCACATCCGATCGTATATCACCACGTCGATAAGTATGCTGCTCTTTTCTAGAGCCCGTGTTTTTGTACTGATTCGCTCCCGTAGCTCGCAGGGCTTCTGGGAAGTGGCTTCGACCGCGTACACGATCGACCGCAAGCCGAACCGTAGGGCCAAGAACACAGCGATCCTTGATACGGGCACGACACTCTGTCTGCTGCATGACGATGTCGTCGAGGACATCTACCACCACATCTCGGGCTCGCGGTATAGTAACAGCCGAGGAGGGTGGATATACCCCAGTAACGCACATATTCCGGAGATATCGCTCGCTGTGGGCCACACGATGTACCGAGTACGTGTATATTCTGGCTGTTGATGTTTGAGTTCTAAATACGCGTGCTGTGCAGATCAACGAAGTAGACTTCGGCTATAGTGATGCAGGCCAGGGCTACACGATGGGCGGAGTCCAGAGCCGCGGAGATCTCACCTATGACATCTTTGGAGACGTATTTTTGAAGTCGGTGTATGTCGTATGTGAGTGCTGCCTTTCTCTATTCCCGTCCTGGGTGCGGCATGCTCATCTCCGAACAGTTAATCAGGTCGAGAAGATGGTAGGGGTTGCGCAGAGGGACGACTAAGTTATGACTATCTGAACGGAACTGGTCTTTTATCTTGTATTCTTTCTCTCTGTTCTCGCGGCGGATGTTAGGACTACAGAGTCGATCTTTGTATCCTGGAGCTCGTATGGTTTTACTACAGGAGGTTTTACTACAGGACTGTATTTGACATGTGTGTCTTCGTACTTTCGGTACAGATGAACCTTTCTTGCAGGATGTTGTTTGCTTTGGAGTCAATTGGCGAAACAGAATGTTTAATCTGAGGGGCCTGGGGAGATCGAGTGGCTCGCAGTTGCACACTTTCGATCTCTTCGACGTCTGGAACGAGGGGACTGACCGGCAGTTGCCTTGACGTTATCACCTGTTGGAATTATAATCAAGTCGGTCTACTTACCATCATATTGATTTACATTGTTTCTAATGCTTTCCGTATATGGTAACCTCGCTAGCTCTGGTGCGTATCCGGGCCGCCACTCATGCCTCTCGATATCCTTAAGCTTTCAATTCAATGTCTTTCTTTCTCTCGTAGTGGGCTCTGTGTTGTCTGAGACCAACCCCTCTGAATTGCTGCACACTCATCCATTTTTTTTTACCTCGTTTTTAGTTTCTACGTGGCTTGAAAAGATCTGAATGCATACATTCAAGCCTAGTTTTTCTGTTTGGCTCACGCTCTGCTGCCACACTCTCCGCGCCTTGAAGATGTTGCATTCAAGTGATCATGAATACCGCAACGTGTAGAAATCAGCAAATTGTGCACGTCTTTTCATCCTTTACGAGTGAAGAGTGCGGTAAGAAAATTACAAATCGATATACACCCGCTTGCATCGACTCCATCTGCACTGAGGTAGATCGCATCTGACAGCCAGGAATTTTCGGTGCGGTCTTGATTGTACCCAACGAGCCGTACGCACATACTCCATTGGAGTGCGCCTCTGATGTGCACTACTAGTTTTGTGATTTATACTGATAGAAGTGACTCATATGCCATGGAGACAACTTCAGTCGGCTCACAAGCTGTGGAAACGATTTTAGTCCACTTGCAGGTCATGGAAACGTCTCTGGACCTGAAGGTCGGGACGCTGCAGCTGTCATAGGGCCTCAGTGTCTCTGTACTTGGAGATGTTGACACAATTCGATGCGTAAGCAGAACCTGCTATGATACAGATGCGTCATAGAATATTCAATATCATTTCCACCTCATAAATAAATAGAAGAATGTCGCTCACAATATAAAATTTGATTCACGCAGAGCCTACAAAAAAGCTGGCGAAGGAAACATCATCACGCAAGTTTTGGGATGAAATTTTTAAGCTGTCTGCTTCATATCGGATGGTCCGTCCAAGCAACTAGGTAATAACGGACTATTGTCACTCGAGCCTCTACAAATTAGCTTATGATGGTCACATCCGTGATCGTCTTAAAAAGTCTTCAGGAAAACAACTACGATTATCGATAGCGCAAGCCTCCATTGCTCTACCTTTCAGGACCTTGTGATAGATCGCATCAACAAAAATTCCAGCTTTACGGCTCAAGGACGGAATTTAGTAATAGGAAGGACGCTAAATGCGCTGGTTAAGCAGCCCATGGAGAGAAAAGAGCATATTCGGTTTTCTTGCATCATACGCGTCTCCTACGTTATCTATTTTTCTGCTTTTGAGGTCTTTTGCTTTATAGAGTCATGAATGGGGTCCTTTTGATCCATCTTTCCAATTTCCTCTTCGAAATCAGCGCCTCGACCTCTTCTGTGGGTGGTTATGTCACATCTGACATCAGTCAAATCACTGTGAATGTTACTGAAGGTAAGTTGGATAGCATGGAGTATATCTCTTACCAGGCGGAACGAACTAAGTCTGATCTGATCTCTATCATCATCGTCATTATCTGATCTCTATCATCATCGTCATTAGAGACCTACAATTTATCCGCCAATGAAAGCACCATTGCGTACGTGAGGGACAAGCTTGAGAAGAACTTACCTGAGCAAGCGGATGTCTTTATCGACGCCATTACTGGTACAAAACTATCTATACCATTGCATACCATCACTTAACCAAAACCAAAACCCATATTGGCTTGGCAGCTGCAACTAGATTTTCAGAAGAATGGTGGTATGTTGGTGCTGTGTGTTGGAGACATATTTTGTCATGTAAGATAGTGAACCTTTCCGCGTTCTCGCGAAATGAATCCGACTGTGACCTGTCGCTGCTTATGCGTTTGCGCTCAGGATGCTCGCCGTAGAAGAGTCCTGGATCCTAGACTCACTCTTTTTGCCACTTCATGCGATCCTATCACGTTATACATAAAGCCCAGATTTGTGATACTCTGGCATTCTAGCGGGGAAGCCGAGAATGACTCATCAAGAAGAGCTCCAGCCTGAATAATGATCCTTTGAATGCAAGGGAATGGCTATAAGTCCTGGGGGTCACAAAAGGTGCACCACTTAGCTTCCTCTTCAGTACCCCATCATGCCAACCGCTCCAGTCGATCAGAATGGCACTGTACTCTATTTCGAAGACAGTGGTGCGCCCTCATCGAGCGATGACTATACCACCGTAATGATCCTGCACGGTGCTATATTTCATTGTGGTAAGCATTGACACAGTTTCTCATCGTGAGATGCGCTGCTGACTAGTATCACATCAAGGGACCTTCAGGCCAGTATTTCCTTACGCTTCAAGGAACAATCTGCGTATCGTTCTCATCAACTGGCGCGATTATCCTGAATCGACCCCATACTCTGATGCTGAACTCGAGAGAATGCGCGGACCTCTGGACGCTCAGGCCGCAGCGCTGGCCGCTCACGGAGTTGAGTTCCAGAATTTTATTGTATGGTTTGTAAAGACACACCAAACGCCGCCCATCAAGGCAAATAAGGACGGAAGCCTTTCAGGCGGGGTTGCCTTTGCCGCATGGTCTGCGGGAAACTTGCAGTGTATTGCCCTGCTCGCCCACGCAGACAAGGCTTCGACGAAGACGAGAGCGCTCTTAGACATACACCTCCGCACCTTGATAGTGTACTGTGCGTACGCATCTTACTGCGCACCAGTACCACAGTGACCTTGATGTGTGACTCTGCCCAGCCCCTAACCACACTGCTATCGGGGCGCCCGCCCATCCAAAGCTCTACAGCCCCTTCCGCGACGGCACGCTCAGCCCCGCGCAGAAAGAAGCCGCTTTTCTTCCTTGGATATGTGCTTATTACACGGGAGTCGACCTAGCATCTGACGGGGCTGCGTCGGAAAAAGCCATCCTGGCTCGCGAGAAGCTAGATATCAAGCCCACCCATGAACGCATGACGCCTGAGGAGCTTGCAGGGATCCTGGACACCAGGGAGAAGCCCCAAACGGCCGTTCCGCTGGAGTTCTTGAATCCCCTTGCATTCCAGGACGTCGTGCGTCGTGGGTTGTTCGACTGCGCAAGTGCCGGCGCGCCACAGCCCGTCTGGCCGAGAGTGCGTGTGCGCGTGGTATGGCCCGCCATGGACGTGGACGATGTCCTGTGGACTGCGGAGCTTCTCAGGCGACAAGCAGAAGACGCGAAGAAGTCGGCGAACATTGGACGAGAAGTAGACGTCGTTCGAATAGACGACATGAATCACTTTGTCAGCCCCGCTGTTTTGCGACATCATCGTTTCTACACTGATGGACATGCGTTTAGGGACATTGGGACGCACCCGAAAAGTTTGTGGAGTTCCTTGCAAACGTTGTCTGATCCATGTGCGACTATTTTGGGGATGACTATTCCAATAGCTTCGTCCCGTTCGAGGTCTGAAGCTACGAAATCTTTGACCATTTGTATTGTTCGTTCTCGCACAGTGCCGCATCGCACAGTCTGTCGTGCTCATTAGCGGCCGCTCACATCCACTTTCGGGCTCGAGGAACATGGGCATTGCATTTCAGGTCAGACTCTGTGGCGAAGCAGAGGGGTCGTACATATGTCTCCTTGTTGGCGAGTGCAGTGCTTTTACGCTGGTGCTGGCGATGACGTGCGTCAAGCCACTTTTGTGGGACCCATAGTGTGGTTGAGAGATTATGACCTCTCTGCTGGCGCCTTCTGAGCCAGGGTTTGTTCTGCCGACTCATCTTCTCAACATGCGCCCCCAAGAGGCTGGCACTGGACAATTGTCAGTCGTTCGTAGATTGATGAACCTTGTCAACTTGTGAGAGCGGAAGGGTTGGGGGCCTGCGTATCCACCGGAGATGCTTTTGACTTGGCAGCAGTGGCAGTGGTGCAAGAGAGGCGCAGCAGTCCGCCAATTGCTATTGATTGCGACTCGTGCTACGTTCGGAGCAAGTGAGTGCGAGTACCTGGAATATGGAGCATGTAGATGTTGTCGTCTCAGGCTATTGCAGCACAATTCTGACATATATCCAGAAGAACCGGATATTGATATCAAAACATACTTCCATTCGCCTCCGTTCATCAAACAGAAGGGCATAGCATCGGCGCCTGATCTCACCTATGCACGGGTCCATGACTACCATACGGCTCGCAATGGCGTGCGCCCAGGTCAGTGGATCGGCCTCCACTCGGTCCTCTCGCTCTGGACGACACCGGAGACATAGTTATCATCGTCGGCTGGATAGCGCGGGTCAGTCGTGCTTTTATACGATGACAGGTCCACTCACTGATAAACTGTCGGAGGGAGAGGGGGCCCCTGATCAACGTCGCGAGCGACACGTGAGAACGAAGAAACGGCGTACCGCGGCCGTGATGCGCTCGCCGGCGTACGTGTACACCACCACGCGGCCAGGAACGTATCCCTTTCCGCCGGTCGCGGCCTCGTAGGAGGGGAACTGCTGGGCGGTGAAGTCGGTGGGCCCTGCGGCCGGGTAGACGCCGCAGACGTAGAGCGTGCCCTTCTTGTTGGTCCACTCGTGCAGGGGGAAAGGGTTGGGGTCTATGATCGGTATGCAAAGTGTGACAAACGTGGGCGGGCCGTCGGAGCACTCACTGGCAAAATCAAAGCTCCCCGTATGCGTGAAGCGGAGATTGAGGTCCTCGATGGTTATGGTGATGACTTGTTCGAGGGGGTCGATGCTCGTCGTCTGAACGGTCAGGGTGCCAGGGAGATCCGGGATGGATTCGTCGGCGGGCAATTCGGGGTGGGTGCTCTTGAGCGGGAGGTCGAGCTTGCGGCGCTTCGCATGCTCGGGACCGTGGGTGCACAAGAGCAGGAACGCCTGGTCGACGGACAAAGGCTTCATCGTTGAAGGTAGATGCACTGATGGGCAGCAGGGATTGCTGGTGTTGAAGGCGGCTGGCCCCCCATTTAATAACTTACGGTTCACAGGAAAGGGGACGTCTAATCATGAATCAACATTGGCAGCGCCTCTGTCGTCGGCCCTAGTCTCTGTCCGTCCAAAGTTCTGCATTGAAGCTCGCAGACGCACTAACTTTGCAGTCACTCACGGACCATTGAAGAAAAAACGCAACCACTTGCAGCCTGCCTTTCTAGGATCAAGCCGTTGAGCGTGGGGTGACCAGCAATTTTGAAAATTCTGCAGAACGTGTGCGCTGCTTCCCAGCTAGCATGTCCACGGATGTGTTACGTACCAAATGCGATGACGGTATGGCCGACACAAATGGCAAAGACGATCGGATAACTGAATGCGCGAGCACTTGTCAGCTGGACATGTGGGGGGCGGTATATGTCGACTCTGTGGGTAAACATAGATTGAAGACACCATCTTCGAAGCTCTGGTGGGGGCAGCAAGATGGAAGCTGATGCCGCTGGAGAGGTTTCTCGACCGAAGGCCCATTCCACCAGGATTGGCGTTCTCCGGGTATGACAGACACTGCCCTTTTCGTCTGTGGAGTAGGAAGCGGTCTCTCATACGAGTAGAATAGGCAAGCCAAAGACGCAGCCTCGCACAATGAACCTAAACATCATGTGCGACTCAGACGCTCGCGAATGGGGTCCGTGAGCACAGGTGTGCTGCTACACAGTCAGCACGTACATGGGCAGTTACTCATAGTTTCGCACCAGTGTTTGGTAGCCCAAATGCAGTTTTATGCATCGGTCCGCTAGGCAACTTCAAATCAGCGAAAACGTTGAAAAATGCTAACCCCTCGCGTTATGATTTTGTCAAAGTTCGATGCATCTGATAACGCGTTTCCTTGTATGGTTCGTGAGAATCTTCTACTGGTCTTTGGAGGCGGGATTTCCGAGTCAGACATTGAAAAACATACTGTGTCCCCCTACTGTTGCTCCTTTCGAAAGCTGCGTGTGTGCTAGAATTATTACGAATCACATCTTCTTTCCGCCCCACACTTCCTGTGCGGTCTCGCCCCCAAACGTGTGTCGGATTCGTTCATCCATACCTTCTGTCACTACTGGTGCCTCGCCGCCGTCGGCGTGTCGAAGATGTCTGACGTTTGTGAGATTTACAGGAACTTATGGCACCTCGATCACCACATGCCCTAGCACCTGACGAGTCTTGGCCCACACAGTAATACCTCCTCCACTGTTTCGTTCAGTCGAAGTCAGTTATATGGTTCTAGACACGTAGAGGATGGTCAGTAAATACGCCATTGAACGTTCGTATTGCGGTCGATGTTCAACATGCACAACAATCATATCATAACTGCGCCTTATGAGGGGGGTTACATGTGAGTACGCGTTGACATCCACAATGCTGCGGAGGCCGATGGTGTCATGATTTGAATGCTGTGAAGCCATCTAGGGATAGAACGCCACCGAGAAGGTGTCCTTTGTAAAGGGTCCAATTTCACACCCATTCAAGGCTGCTCGCTAGATCAATGAGTGAGCCTACCTCCTGGGGTACTCGAGAGCGCCTCAAGCAGCACTACTGCTGGCAAACATGGGACGCAGTGGAAGCATGTGAGCATGCATTCATGCATACTCCTGCCTTCTTTGTTGAGATATATGCATTGAGGATACTCTTCCTCTCTTCTCGTGCCGTAGACAGACATCTTCCCTGCTCGGTATATCTACTTGGCCGCTTCTTTGCTATCCAAGCCGCGGACTAGAATGAGCTGGTGCCGTGAAATCATCTGCAAATGGGGTCGGGGCAGGACTAGTGCCGGAGTCTCAGACGCCGCTCGGCGAAGTATGTCAACGACTTGCAAGGTATAAAACGCGGACGAACCCGCCGTCCTTGGTCCACCACCACTCCCAACTACCCACCACTTACGAGCACATCCTTTTCCACCAATGGCCCAGCTATCCCTTGACGAGGCTTTCTTGCAATTGTGTGTCCACGGTCCCGAGCATGCAAAGCACCGCGGCGTCCACATTCCCTATGAGAGCACCCATCCCAATTTGCCCAAAAACCAAACGATCAAGGATCTCCCTGGACATCTGACCGTGAAGACGATAAGCCGAGACCCGCTCCAGCAAGCCATCACTATCACTGTTAAAGGCCTCCCTCTTGTGTTCACGCACACAGGAGGATACACCTTCGCCAGTGAGTAATTCTGATCGTTGACTATCGTCAATCATCTCAAAACCATAACTAGACCCCAACCCTTTCCCCCTTAACGACTGGGTAAAGAAGCCGGGCAAGCTCTATGTTCGAGGCGAATACCCGACCCAGGGTTACACCGATTTCACCGCTCAGCAGCTCCCTTCCTACGAGGCTGCCGCCAGCCAAGCCGGCTATGTTCCGGGACGTGTGATAATTTACACGTACACGCTGAACCGCATAACTGCTGCAGTAAGTAGCACATATTTTCCGGTGCTGCATCACGGTGCTGACACTATTTTCCTCGGCAGTTCATCAGTAAGTGCTCTTGGAATGCTTGTGCTGCGCGCGGATAGCTGACCGATGCCCTTTAGCGGACGACGACAACTACGTCTCTGGCGTGGTGAACAGCACCAACACTCAATGGATACCAACTAATGTGGTCCGCCCCGAAGCCTGAAAGAGTGTTGTGTTGCGCGCTGGGCTAAGTTGTACGATATTCTGGATGGGGGAGGGAGAGAGAAGGAATTTAGTTTGTATTCGCTCAAATCAGACGTTTTGTGAAAGCTTTTGATGAATGAATCTTGTTTACGAGCATGCGAGCATCACCATCAGCTACTTCAGCGTGAAGCCGTGTAACCCCGAGTCGTGTGGGATAGGATGCGTTCCGCACCGCTGCAGTTGTGAACTAAACTCAGATCCAAGGGTTCGACGCACCGGCGACCACTTCATCGTGATTTTCGCTCGAGTGTGTGAATAAAGCTATACGGAGGAACGATCCATTTTCCTTCTGTATTTTCTAACTGCGTATTTGCGTATCGTTCAAAGATGCGGTTGGATCATTGAATTCCAGGGTTCGTACGGTTATACAACAGGACTTAATCTAGTTAATATGCATTCCAGGAACGTGATATGGACGAATGGCATCAGGCATTTCTCGATGGGGGCTGTGGTCCGACAACGTCCGCGCCAGGAAGCAGCCAGCGGAAAGTAACGCTCAATCTAACGTCCCGCGGGAGCCAGGCAGCGAGCCGCCGTGCATCATCGCCATCGCATCCATCAGGATCGCGGGAGACCCCCTCCGACTCGACATAGTCCTCCATGCGCTGCTCGATGCCGTGCGTCCAGCTGTATCGGGCGTCCCCCGTGAGCACGAGGACGCTCCCCGCGGGGAGGTACACGCCGAACCGCTCGCCTGCCCCGCGCGCGCGGCCGCCGTCCGTGCGCTGCGACGCGGGCTCGTCGCCCCTCCCCGCGCGCACCTTGGCGAACTGCATGACGCACCCCGAGCCGAGGCTCACGCCGACGATCCCGTCGCCGTAGCGGTCGAGCAGGTCGACGTGCGGCGTGATGCCGTCCCCGGGCCAGTACAGGTTCAGGATGGCCTGCCGCGCGAGCGGCGTGGGGTGTGCAGGGAAGAGCAGCGCGTGTTTGGCTGCGGGAAGCAGGGGGCGAAGGAGCACGGAGAGCGTGGAGAGGAGGGAGGTCAGGACGGGCGGGAGGCCTGTGTTCAATGAGGGTGAGGACGAGGACTCAGAGGATGAATTCGCTCGCTCGAAGAGCATGACTTGGTCAGCGTCGCTGTGCTGGAAGTACGTACGGATGCACGTCCACATGACTTCCTCTGTGAGGTCTAACGGAAGACGGACGGCAGGGTCAAAGTACAGTCCCGGAATGGGCGGGACAGCTCGTGTTGCGGGTGTGAGCGGATCTGGATCGTTTACAAGATTGTTAGGTATCGTCGTGAGTGTTGTGGGCATCGTGGCAATGTCGTTACTGGTATCGTTGTCCTCCGTCCGAGGGCATGAGGACGTGGGCTCGTCAAAGAGAGAGTCATGGGGCGACGGCCCACCGTCAGATATGGCATGAAAGCGTAGATTCTGAAGGGTTTCCGCGTCTGTTAGAATCTTCAGCGACGAATTCCTTCGTGGGGGTATGCCAGCAGTACTAGAAGAATGGGAGCTCGCTGCGAACTGAACATATTCCTTTGGACGCAGGCGAGATTCGTGGGACCCGTCGAGACTGCGCTTGCGTTTACGGGTGGTGGGGGAGGAATCCTGAGCGGACATGAGCCACTGCACTGGCCGCTGTAGTGCAGCAGTCAGACAACCCGATCACTATCGGCGTCAGTTCGGTGATGGGGACAACTAAAAGCGGTAATCCCGGCTCCGCGAACACACCTTGTCCACCTACTGCACGCCTGCACATGTTTGTCTCTTGCCAGAAGAACTGAACACACGCAAGGCATCCTCATGCAGCGCTTTCCGGGGAGACTATTTACCTCTGCGTCTTTGACGAGCAGGGGGTGCAGGCCTCTCACTGGCATCTGCAGCAGATGCACCGGCAGCACACATCTCATTCGAGGGAGATCCGTAAGTTCCAGCTCGGCAGAGTCGCATACGGAGGACGAAGACTACGACTTTGGATACTATGATGTGATCTTGCCTCACGAGCCTTATGTCTGGGGCGTCTCGCACATTCGTCCGCGTACTGTGCCTCCGCATATTACTCGGCCAAGTTACGCACTCGATGGCCAAAACGTACCCTCCAACAGTCATTCTCCTCATTTGAGACTGCTTGAACCAGGTGGCGAGAACGAAGCTCGACTTCGATCAGCTGCGGCACTAGCGAGCAAGGTGTTGCGCTACGCAGGCAGCTTGGTCAAAGTGAGCCTTTGGTTGAGACCTGTTTGCTGATACGCGCGCTGACTGTAGTCTTTGCAGATTGGCGTGACGACCGAGGAAATCGACACCAAAATTCACGAGATGATCCTTTCGCATTCCGCATACCCGTCGCCTCTTCTCTACAAGGGGTTTCCCAAGTCTTGCTGCACAAGTGTGAACAACATTATCACTCACGGAATACCAGACGAGTTTAGTATGTTTCCACCCAATGGTCATTCGGCCTCATCTCATGCTGCACAAACTCAGGCGGCCACTCCAAGACGGAGACATCGTAAATATTGATGTCACCGTGTACAAGGATGGGTTCCACGGAGACACCTCGCGCACATTTTTCGTGGGGGACGTTGTGAGTCTCGGAGCCTAGTCGTACGTGTCTAGCTATACTGTCAGACCCTCACATACAGGACGAGAAAGGTCGCCAGCTCGTCAGAGTCACCGAGGAGGCTTTGGAAGTAGGGATTGCAGCGTGTGGACCGAGGCGCCCCTTCAAGTCCATCGGAAAGGCCATCTTCGAGCTCATCCGGCACCAGCCCTACTCTGTCTCTACGCAATTCACCGGGCACGGAATCGGTCGCGAGTTCCATCGCGAGCCTTGGATTCTACATCATTGTAGGCTAAATTTATGCCATATGCCGATGGACGCATTGCTGATAGCGCTGTAGTGAATGATGAACCCGGTATCATGTTGCCCGGTGATTGCTTCACAATAGAGGTCTGCATGAAAAATTTTCGTTCAAACACCTTTATTCTGATTATTGCGGTAGCCTTGCATTATCCAAGGAAATAATCCCAGTGGATGGATATTCCCGGATGGCTGGACGGTATCTACAGAGGTATGTTTCCACGACGCTATTTGTGGTTTGTGGGCTCAGCTTGTTATCGGAAGAATTGTGCACGCAGCGCGCAAGCAGAGCACATGGTGTTGATCACCGACACCGGTGCCGAGGTGCTTACTCGGGGCAAACGCTGAGCGTATAGTACTAGTATCCTACCATAATGGAAGCAATCAATGAGTTACTCGCTACACATACAATCTACAGATACATTCAAGCCGGTCATGAAGAGACAAAAATTCGCTCGTGCACAAATCCGCACAAGATATCCGTCAAGTCCGCCTCCTTGCTCTTGAGGATCTCCTCGCTTTTCGCAATCAAAGGCTTCGCCTTCGTTAGCAGTGACTGCAAGTCCGCCGCCATCTCTCCCGTCATCCCCCTCCGCAACCGCTCCGCCATCGACATTGTCGACCGCCTCCGAGCCGACCGACGATCCTTCAACGACTCGGCAGGCTGGTTATCAGTTAGCATGTCCTCATCCTCCTTTTCGTTCGGTGTGGCATCAAACTCCGGTTTCGAGAGCCACATAGCCAGCTGTGTGACTGCGTACATCATCACTGCTTCCAAGTTCAACCGAACAGTAGCCACACTCTCGCGCACGTCCAAGGCCTCCTCAGATACCGAGGCGGGTGTGATCGCCTGGGTTGGTGGCCGGCCAGCGAGGTGACGCAGGACATCCAGCGAGCAATTTCCCAGTTCGAGCAGAGTGCCCATGGATGCGGCCTCTCCAAGGACAACCTTGGAATGCTTTGTAGGCAGTCAGTCAGATATCGTCAAAGTCTGGAATGAAGGACGACTTACAGGTACTATCAGTGCTTCATGTATTGGCCAGTCTTCTCGTTCTCCGACGAGGACGGTCTCAGCACCGCTGATGCTGTTGAGCGTAGACGCAATGGACCCTGACAATCGGAACAGACGGTATACCAGTCGAGCAAGGAATGGTCGTCTCAAGGGATCCACTATCTCCGCTGAGGAGCTGACGGACGCTTGTCCACATTCGGCGTCATACCTCGTTCGCTCGTCAGCGGTGATCGGCTCGAATAGGCTCGCCAGGTGGTTTGGGTGTGTCAGAGCATAGTTGAGCTGCTGCATCAGTAGCAGTGCATCAATGGTGAAAAATCGCAGCACCGTCTTCACCGCTTCATTTGAAGTGTCTCCACGCGAGTTCTGTGCAAGCGCAGAGAAGAGGTTGACCACTTGCTCTATCTCTTCCAGGAGGGGGATCGTCAGAGAGTCGCCTATCGTCCACGACAACGCCTTATGGATTTGGTCCCCATAGAGTTGTATCAGCCCGCTCGCCTCCGAGT